TCATCACTCTTAAATTCTAAAATTTGTATAGTATATTCTAATTCTGTTTATGAATTCAAAATAGTATGAATTCACTTTTAAGTTAAGACTAATATAGTTGATTTTATTAATTTTCACACACAAAGATCCTCGAAATATAAATTAAAATATTTTTTTTAATTCATAAAACATTAGATTATTATTTTTTACTCAGTATTTATTATTTTTTCTAAAACAGTTGCAAATGACAGACAAAACAATATCTTAGAAAGCAAGAAGTAAATTTACAAAATAAACAAGCCTTCAATTTCTAAGAGAATGAATCTGAGATTGATATATGTGAGATATCAAAAGAAGATTACTCAAAAATATTTGATAAATCAATAAAATTTTATGAGTCCACGCATCAATATTATGTAGAAAGAGTGATAGGAAATAAGATTTCCATATAATACGATAGATGAAAATAATGATTAATAAGAGAGTTATCATGTTTATCAGTTTAGAATATTTATTCTTTGGTTGACAATGTAAAGGAATTGTTTAAGAATATTAATAATGAATTCTATCGAAAAATTACTGGACTTTTGGAGTGTGTATAAAAAAAAGAAAATATAACACATTTTGAAAAATAGATTATACCAGACACTTGGGCCAATCGAATATAAAATTTAACAATTAAAATTGAAGAAAATGATAAATATGCCATTTTAATGAAACAAGATTATAAAGTACTTATAATTTATGAATATGATATCTTTTCAAAATGTATATTATAATTAATTTCTATCTTTTGGATTTATATTGCTTTACTTAATTAACATAATATAATATAATATGGAATATATATATAAACACTTTGATTAGTTTTATACTCATTTCAACTCTCATTGGTTTGATTCTATATTTTGAGGGTGGTTCGAATACATCAAAAAATATATTTTGTTTAATTAAACGATACAAATAATTTTTTTTTGTATCATTACAGTTCTTCAGGAATTAATACTGTATTCTTTGTAACTAAGAATAATGCTGCTTTGATGTACATTATATGAAGAAAATTGATGGATATATTAATGATTATGAAAGCTTTGTAGTTAAATATAAGATCCCATAAAATAGATGCTTCATTATTAAAATAAAAATAAAATAAAATTTAGGTTTATCTTCTTAGGAATAAAATAAATTATGGAAAAATCAATTGATCAAGTACTTAGGCTATACAAATAATCAAAGTTAATCAACATTAAAGTAAAATTATATGGTATAATGAACTCTTGATATTCCTTTCAATTATGCTTTAATCCTCTCTATAATACTTCACATAAGAACTTTATTGACTATAAAGTGTATTAAAATAAATCATATAGTAATTTTTATAGAAATTAAAACTATATGATAATCTTTATGCTGGCTACTTTAATTTTATTTTTGCAATTGAATTCTTTATAGCCATAGTTTTAATTCTATACAAAACTATCAACTTGATTTATTTAATGATTCAAAGTATATTGGAATAATCTTAGTGTAAATTATTTATTTTAGCGATATTTTTACTTTAAGATTATCGATAGGGATCCCTATTATTTTTAATTGATCATGGAACGATTAAACATAGCGAAGTCTTTGTTTAATTAATAGATTTATTATTTATAAGTATTATTTTTAATACTTTAATTTTCCTTAAGACTTATGACTATTCAAATTAATAAAAAATTCATATAATTCTATTATAATCAGAATATCTTTATCATGATCTTGGTCTTGATGAATCATATTAATCCTTAATAAACAAGAAAAAATTAACAGCAATCTCTAAAATCATTAATCTTTAGCATGCCCTTTGTTTATATCCATGCAAAAGACTTAGTTTATTTCTTAATTGCTACTTTACGATGTTATAATATTTGGGTTTTATAAAAATAACACTTTTTTTATTATTTTCTTTACCATTCTTTAGATCTGATAATATTTTTTAATTGATTTAAATAGAAGGCTAAATTTGATTTTTATATTTTATACTTTATATCTACTATTTAAATGAAAAAAAAACTTTATTTTAAATTACCATAACATATTGGAAATAATTTTATTTATTGTTAGATCGGTAATATTGTCATCAAAATCAAACTTGTACATCTGATTAGAAATAGATTTAAGCATTTAGATGATAAAAATTGAAGCTATCATTATTTCGATAGAATACTATTAAATATCAAATAATAATATAATGCAGAATAATAAGTGCAATCAATATCATAAAAAATTAAATTGAATAATGATAAATAATGATGAAAGCAAAATTCAGATTCAGAAAAATAGAAATCCTGCAAAATATGAGTATACTCATAGTTTATGATAATTATCTATCTATTCCACAAATAAAGTAAAAAGTTTCGCGTAAAATTAATAAGAATATAATAAATCAATATTATAAGCTGCTTTTATGCAAATATTTGGAACATCTCAATTATAAATCAGTTTATTTTAAATGACACCTAGCTAGATCTTCAAATTGATTTTAAAATTGATTGTCATTGATATATTCATCCAACAGATTTGAATGAGATGGTATTATAATAGATTTATGTAATACGATTTAATAAAATAAATGCAAAGATTATCGATGAAAATGGATAGTATATTTATGGATGCTATACAATTTATGAAGTAAGTTGATAGATGATATTATATTCAATTTTCCAAATCCATTATCTATGAGATTATAATTATTCCTTCTATCTAATGCTTTAAGAATAATCAAATTAATGATTTCAATTCCAACATTCACTTTTTCAAAAAAATTTGGTCCCTCAGATCATATTTTGGTGATTCTAATATTTTTAACATATATTTATTAGTAATATCATCTTGTTCACATGATATTTTTTGAGTAGAATCACACTTGTAATTATAGACTATAACAAAATCTAATGAAGTTATTATATATTACTTAATAGAAGTATGCCAGGGATATATGATAAATTAATTATTCAGTTGAAAACTATTTGCAATTTTCTTTCTTCATCATCATATTATGTGTCCTTTATTCTTGGAACATGAATAAAGCTAATGCTTTTGAAATCATGACAGAATTCTATTCTGTAGATGTTCAAACCTAATTGGTTATGAAGTACAAAAGAAGAATTGAATCAAAAAATATCCAGAAGTTATTTCAAATATTATTTGGCAAGCCTTATTTAAGTTTCTCTCTCCATAATTAATAATTAAAATTAATTATCAGGTTCTAACCCAATATGTGAATAAATATTTTTATTATACATTTAATTTAATTACCACATAGTAATATTCAAATATATAGAACTAATTTTATAAATTAAATAAAACATTTTTATCATAAATATAGAGGTCTGTTTGGCTTACAACACCAACTATTGTACTCATAGTTAGATTTCGTTTCTATGGCATAAACTTGCACAATTACTCTATTAATGAATAATAATATCCTTCTCTATCAAGTAAATAAAATAGGATTAATATTATTGACTTAAGATATGAGAGAATTAAAATTTTATATATAAAATAATCAAAATTTGAATATCTAACTTATGAAGTACAAATTCAGAATTTAGACAGGCTTTGATTAGTATGCATTAAATTTATTCGAACTTCTCAAATGAAAAGTGATAAAATCTTAATTTTTATCATTTAAAATAACAATATGATATCAATTTGAAATAAAATTGAATTGGAACTAAACTAAATTTAGGTTAAGGGATTAATTTCATTTGATTAAACAATATTTAAAGTTTTAAAAAATTTATTCATATTCAAATCATTAGACTAAATATAGTTTCCTACTCTTAAATAACATAATAATGTATGATTATCTTAAGAAATACGTAAAATTGTAATTGAATGATCGAAAATTGATTTTTTTTAAATTATTTTAGATCCCTTTTTAATGAATATCGTCTTTGGTTAGTTTTATATTTACNTCTAATATTTTTAACATATATTTATTAGTAATATCATCTTGTTCACATGATATTTTTTGAGTAGAATCACACTTGTAATTATAGACTATAACAAAATCTAATGAAGTTATTATATATTACTTAATAGAAGTATGCCAGGGATATATGATAAATTAATTATTCAGTTGAAAACTATTTGCAATTTTCTTTCTTCATCATCATATTATGTGTCCTTTATTCTTGGAACATGAATAAAGCTAATGCTTTTGAAATCATGACAGAATTCTATTCTGTAGATGTTCAAACCTAATTGGTTATGAAGTACAAAAGAAGAATTGAATCAAAAAATATCCAGAAGTTATTTCAAATATTATTTGGCAAGCCTTATTTAAGTTTCTCTCTCCATAATTAATAATTAAAATTAATTATCAGGTTCTAACCCAATATGTGAATAAATATTTTTATTATACATTTAATTTAATTACCACATAGTAATATTCAAATATATAGAACTAATTTTATAAATTAAATAAAACATTTTTATCATAAATATAGAGGTCTGTTTGGCTTACAACACCAACTATTGTACTCATAGTTAGATTTCGTTTCTATGGCATAAACTTGCACAATTACTCTATTAATGAATAATAATATCCTTCTCTATCAAGTAAATAAAATAGGATTAATATTATTGACTTAAGATATGAGAGAATTAAAATTTTATATATAAAATAATCAAAATTTGAATATCTAACTTATGAAGTACAAATTCAGAATTTAGACAGGCTTTGATTAGTATGCATTAAATTTATTCGAACTTCTCAAATGAAAAGTGATAAAATCTTAATTTTTATCATTTAAAATAACAATATGATATCAATTTGAAATAAAATTGAATTGGAACTAAACTAAATTTAGGTTAAGGGATTAATTTCATTTGATTAAACAATATTTAAAGTTTTAAAAAATTTATTCATATTCAAATCATTAGACTAAATATAGTTTCCTACTCTTAAATAACATAATAATGTATGATTATCTTAAGAAATACGTAAAATTGTAATTGAATGATCGAAAATTGATTTTTTTTAAATTATTTTAGATCCCTTTTTAATGAATATCGTCTTTGGTTAGTTTTATATTTACAGTCAATTAATTATAATTAAATGTTAATGTAAGTTATATTCACTTATAATCGATAATACTCGATTTCCAGTTAATATCCTAAATTTCAATATTTATCTGGAAATCAAAAACTCAAAATCTTTGTCAACTATAAATATAAAATAATTAACAAGTATTATCTGTTGACAACACTAAAATAAAAACTTATGTAGGAGAAACTTAACGCTAATAAATATCTTCATCAGATACTATCTAACCTTTTGAAAATTAATTTTAATTATATGGATCATATACTCTAATTGTTTCATCCTTCCAAAAGTACTATTTAATGCAAAATTTAAATTTAAGTAAGTGAATAAACTTCTACTTTTTGAAATTATTCAACCTTCTTACTACTATATGTCTAATTTATAGAAATTCTTTAGAATTGGATATTCACTATTTATTTGATTATTAAATTAAATTTATTTAACTATAAAAATTTTTGGATATTTCTTTTATTGAAATTTAATTTAATAAATCAAAATAAAATTTCAATAAATTTCCTTTTAAAATCATAATTTATCGTTAAAGTTCCTAAATTAAAATACCTTTAGTTTTTTTTGAGTTTCCGTTTAATCACATTTACTATTCACTATATTGATCTTATTCTAAGAATTATTGTTATCTTTATACAATTTCATTATTTGCATTCATATACTTCAATTATTCAAAAACCTTGATGTTCTTGTTTTAAATCATTTTTCTAATTAAACTCTGGTAATACTTAATGACTCAAATTCGAAAAGTAATTTACCTTTGTTTTCAAATTTGAAAAGGCTAGGATAAATATTGATTTTCCTTTATTTGTTATTCATGCTGAAATAGCAACAAATAAAACTTCCTTTATTATAAAAGGAAAATGATATTAATTTCTATATTTATATTACTGAAAATAATTTATTGTAAAAATAATTCCTAAATGAAAAAACCAAAATATATTATTTAATTTTTGTTTAAGTTTTCAAAATTTCAAGAATTTACAATGAAAGTTCAATTATCATTTATTGTCAAAAATTAGAAAAAAATCATTTACTCCAAATTCATAAATGATTATTTACTGTTGTTATTTTCTTAGACTTTATGTTTCGAATTTACAAGTATTAAGGATTATTACTTATCATAACAACAAAAAAAGATTCTTAACATTGCAATTCTCATTGTTTATATTAAAATTATTGTTATTCAAAATTTTAAATTTATCATTAAGGATAATAATAGCTATTGTTGATTATTACTAAATACTGACAAGTTATCTTTGAATTTTCTACTAAAAATAGAATATCTATGTTTAATATGTGTCAAAATCCTATTATCATAATTATTTACAGATATTAACTAATATATCATACGATCCTCTGATCATCCATTAATTGATTTCCTTTTTTTTAAGATTAACAATAGTGCAGATCAGTAATATAATGTATAGATTTGCCAAACAATAAATAATATCATCTAATTACGAAATTTTTCCTTTATCATAAACTAAAAATCAAATAATATTTCAATTCAAAAATCATCTTTTATTCCTATAACAATGTTTGTAATTTCCTTAATTTTAGTGGAAAGTGAAATCATTTTTAGATTCACTGAATTAATTTAGTTTGAATAACCAATATTCCTTTTAAAAAATATGAAAAATCTTATTAAAGATCTTCTTAAAATAGAATAATGGATTTTCATTAAATTTCAGCTTCTGAATTAATTTTGAACATTTAGTATTTTATGTTAAATTATAACATCATCATATTTTCAAGATTTATGATTCATTTCGATATCTTCCATAATTTTCTTAATTAAGATACTTAAGTCAAAAGAATTTTTCTAAAAAATTACTAGAACTTTCATATTAAGAAAAAGATTATCTTTTTATATTAGAATAGATCTTCAGAAGTCTAAAAAAGAGAGGTAGGTATTCATTTAAATTTATTAATAATTTAATTTTGATATCTATTTTATTCTATATTTATATTGTTCATTAGATAATACATTCTGATGAATATGATCGATCATTTGCTACTCAAACTTTATTTCCATTTTCGTTTTCTTTTTATTATATCTATTTGTTTTCAGGTAACTCATGTTATTCTTGATTGCTTAGATTATTATCTACCTCAAAACTAACTTTTGCTAAATATTTCATTTATTATCCTATCACTATTTGCTTCTAAATAATTAAAAATAATCAATGGATATTCAGTACCTACTACCCAGTATATATTATTTCTGAATTATTTTTCTTCTTGCAATAATTAATCTGCAAACTTCCTAAATCTTGATTTTGGTTTATTAATCAAATTAGCTTATTTATTTTTACTAAACATCTACCAAAATGAACTAACAGAAGTTAAGGAAATACAGAAATTATAGAATCAATTGTCTAAATACTTAGGTAACGGAGAATTGCAATTAAGTCCAATCTTTTAGTGTTTCTCTTGTTGGCTTAAACCGAAAAAAAATAAGGAATTGAAGACGTTCTTATGATTTTATTATCAAATATATACTTTAAAACTATTCAAAACTAAAGTTTCTCTTGAATTTGAATAATTTCTTATTATTTTGACAGAATTATCTTGTCTTTGTTCTTTTTCACTTTTTTTTGCTAGTTCATTAATTTTATTGAGGATAGCTACTGCTGATGCTAATTGGATTAGTCTTAGACCTTTTAAAAACCTATCTTTTGATAATCTAGCTAAAGATATGTTTGATTTTTTAATCATTCTTTTTAATATCATCAAAAATTACCTTAAGCCATCTGAATTTAGAATAGATTAAATAATTTATGTATTAAAGGAATTCAAAGATTACCATAAATTTTAACTGTTGAACAATATGCATTATAAATATAACAAATAACAGATTAATAATCTTTTTGGAAATTCAGATAATAGATATATTATGCAGATTATCTCTTTAAGCATGATTTGAAAATAAATGAAAAGTAATAAGTATTATTATGTTTATATAGATATGAATTATATAATGTATTTTGAAAAGGTATTTTCTTACTTACATATTTATTATGGTTTAAACTAAAAATATTGTTTATTGTTAATAGCTCATTACAAAATAGTGGTTATAGTGCTAATGAGGAAACAATTAATGAATATATGTCTACATATCATGGATTTAAAATTTTAACAATTAGATTGATTTAATTTAATTATGTAACTTAAAATTAAGTAATGTTTGCTAAAAAATATTATTAACCTTTGATCCTAGAAGGTCATCTTATTCTTAAGTAATATTAAAATAATAAGAAACCATAATTGATGATGGAGTTCTTTTTAAGAATGAGAAGAATTATCTTTTCTTAATAATTATGAAATAATCAACTAAGAGGTTGATACATAATTTATGCCTGCTATTGCAAAACAAAAAAATATTTATTTTTAAATTCATTTAACAAATTACAATTTTTTTAATTTTTTAATTAATTAATATTCAATATGATACTTATAGTTAAAAAGGAAGATAATTTCAAAATCTATAAAAAATTTTTCCAAACAATACAATTGCTTTTATTTCAAAAGATATTTACCATAAGGATATATCAAACTTTTATTGAAGAAATTAGTATGCCAAAACTTGGTTAAGTTTTAGCTTAAGATAGTTTCACTTGTTAACTAGTCTTGATGTTAAAGTATGTGGCACTAAATTATAATTATCATTTTATTGAGAATTAATTATTACATTATATTGTATCCATGTATTACCCAGATTTAAAAAATATAAAAATGAATATCTTTCATAAATTTGAGTTCAAAGAAGATATTAATTAATTTTAACTTCCTATGTAAAATTTGAAATTAATTTATGGATAATTATTAAAGAGAGCCAATAAAAAATGTAGGTTGAATAATATCCTATATGAAATTTCTAGAATTTAATTTATTCTCGAATAATCATTTGGAAGATGTATTCTGTAATGTAGTTATTAGTTAGGAAAGAAATTATCGAAAAATTCTAATGATATTTTTATTGATAGAATAACGGAAACAAATAGATTAGTTGTCTAACCAGCAGAATAATTATACCAAGACTAAGTCTAAGAGCATTATCTGAATAAACCTTTAGATATCCTTAAAAAGCATGATTGAATAAATAATATAATAATAAATAGATTATTTTATCATTTTTATTAATAAGTATTTAAATAGTAATCAATCTTTTAAATTTAAAAATATTTCTGAAATAAACCGTTTAAACAAAGCTAATCTTTTAGCCTTTTTTATTAATTCATTTGATTTCGAAAAATAATTTCAAGTTTAAATAAAAATACATTTAGGCAACTGTTTACAAAATTGAAATTAATTCAACTCTAAATAAAATTTTATAAGTGAGATATAAAATAAATTTAAAAAAAGTGAAACTCAATTTCTATCATATTTATGTAGCATAATTTCAGTTCAATTCAGGAGTAATTAGTTAAATTTCAATATCAATAGAAATTATACACATTTTTCTTGTATGAGTATTTTTACAAAGATTTAAATGATTATACATTTTGTATTCTATTTTCGATTTATATCAATACACTTTCTCTGCTGATAATATATTCAAAATAACTATATATTGAATCTAAAAATTAATCTTAGTTTTTAAAATTATTCAAACACTTCAGTAGATGAGTTAATTTGTTGATAAAATCTTTAGTTTTCTATGATTTAAAAAATGAAAAATAATATTAATAATTCTTAAAGTATAATTGAGGAGAAATAAATTTGGTTTAATAATACAAAATATTTTTATGTAACTTATAAAACATAATAATCCTTAGTTTTTATATAGATTATGTAGGATATCTATGAATATTATCAAAGTATTACAAGATATAAAATAAAAAAATTATTTTTCATCTAAATAACAAATTAAATTTATCCTAGATTAATAAATTAATTAAAGGATCAATATTAAAGTTATAGCTTAAATTATATATATAAATATTTTTTAATTAAATGGTTATTATTAAAACTATAGTTAACTAATTAAAAATGAAAATTTTGAACAACACAAACAGAATTCTTAATTTATTCATTCAAATCATATAATTTTACATTTTTTACTATTATTTTTTAATTATAATAATTTAAAATTCTAATTAAATGTCTTCATATAGGAGGAGCAGGTGTAATGATTGGAGATCTTTTATGGAAATTATCTTTAAAAGAACAAAAAGACACAAAGAATCAACAGTACATATATTCATTATTAGATAATGATGATTATCATAGAGTTGTTTTTATAGATTTTGATGATCTAATGATTAATGAGGTTAAGAAAAATAAACAAATTCATTTTAAAAAAAAGATAATTTATTACTGGTAAAGAGGATGCCTGTAATAATTTTTTAGAGGTTATACTTTGGGTAGAAATTTGATATATGACTGTTCAGAATCTATTCGGAAGGAAGTTGTAAAAATAGATTATTTAGATCAATTTTTAATAATTTCATCAATAAGTGGAGAAACTGGATCAGGATTTACATCATTACAATTAGAAAATTAACAGAGGATTATGGAAAGAAAATAAAATGTAATATATTTTGAATTAATAAGCATCTTTTATTGAATTCATTAAGTAAAATAATGAAAAATACCAATTTTTTTATGATTAATATTTACAATTTAATAGTCCCATTTTATAATTAAATTGAAAGAAAATGGAAAACCCTAATTCAACATTTTTCAAGAAGCAGTAATGTCATTTTTCACTCTATTACAGTATTTTCAACCTACATAAAAGTAAATTGTAGTAAAATATTGATAGATGAGAAATTAGAAAATAAAAATTTTAACCTGGTTTATATTTACAGATGAAATAATATGAAAAAATAACTGATGATTTCTGAAAAAATATGATCTATATTTTATTTATTTTTATCAATTTAAAAAATTAATGATATTCTATAATATAGTTTCCCCAGATATGGAATACATAATTAAAATAACATATTATAATTATAGATTTAATTTAAAATAACCAAGTTATATCTAAAGCATTATTAGAATAAGTTACTATTATCTCAAATTACTTCGAGTAAGATTTACACTCTATCAACAAGTTTAAATGAGATAGACAGTATTATTCAGATATTCTAATTAAGTTGGTGTATAAATAATTTAAATGGCGGCACATTAAGTATTTGAAGGATTTGGTGTACTGGTGGGAATACCTTAATACCTTTAAATCTTTAACTTTCACAACGTTATTCAGTAAGAATTACAAAATTTATTAAATTTGTAAAGTGTACTACTCCTCTATTAAACAAATAAATTAGAATATTGATCACTTAATTTATAATTAAATGTTATCTTTAATTGAAAAAAATTTAGGATAAATTGAATTTATGAATTCATATCACCATTGGTTTTTTAATCTTGAATCATCTATTATGCATTTTATTATTTCTAATTTTCTTGTAAAATTTACAAATTTATTCAACCGATTTTTTTTCGAAAAAAATGCTAGATTAAATAATACTTTTATTAAAAACTAAAAAATAATCATTAAGAATATGATGTTAAATTTATTTTTTATGATAAATAAACTTATTTTTAATCAAAGATATCTAGAATTAGTTAAAAACTAGTTTAATTCACTTGTTATCTAATATAAAAGCTAGAAAAATTACCATACCCCCCGAAGACTTGAACTCGAATCCTTCGTCTGAAGTAGGTATGCTACAACAGATTTTTGAATTTAATTATCTCATCTTAATAACTATACATATACACTTGATAGCATGTATAAATTATTGGGTTAAAGTGGGAATATGTAATAAATTCTTAAAAATTGAAAAGTCAATTTTTTAAATCGCAAGATAGATTGTTTTAAATTCCTACTTCTTCCAATTTACTTCAAATAATAACACTATCCTAAAATTTGTTCCATCTCTAGCGTATTTATAATAATGACTGCAAGTTGCAATTTCTGGATTCACACTAATATCTTCTCCATCAAATATCCATACACTTAAGAAACCATCAAGTGAATCTTAGGCTATAACTAATGCCTTTGTGCGTATCTTTACTTTACAAATCATTATAACATTATACTGTTTTTTAATTAGTTATTGTTCCTGAACTATCTATAAAATTAAAAAAAGTCTCTCTACCACGTTGTAATTAGGTACGCAAGGTTGTCTCAAAAACACAACTTTTTTCAGTACCAATACATTCTTGAATCTATGCTTCACATGCTTAATTATCTTATGCTTCGACATTTTTGAACATTATCTTCGTATACAGTTGTTTATGTAGCTCATGCTGTATTTGGGTAAAATTCTGGATAAGCAAAAAAAGTCTCTTTTGTTCATTTAAATTTTTACTATCACAGTTCATTTGGCTAATAAGGATCTTATGTATGAATATTTGTACTTAATGTTCCAATTTTTAATTCTTTTAGATCTTGTTGTTGAATTCATTGGTATACACAGTATGAATTTATTGATATCCAGAGCATAAAATTTATATTTAATAAATAAAGAAAAAGATAGTTGAAAAAAGATTTATCAATGATAAAACCTAAGTTATTAAAATTAGCCACACAGAAAAATTGCTTTTCAGAGAATTATCTTCATAATTTGCTTTTGGTTTATTTGATTCTTATTCCAATAACCCTATAAAATTATTGGTTCTAAATATTTCAAATAAAAAAAATGAAATTTGAACTATTCAAATATTTATTTTATAAATCCATTCAACCAAAATTATTATGATAAATTAAAAAAATAGCATGCATCATATTAGATCCACAGAGAATAATCATTTCGGTTGTGTAAATTTTAATAAAATTTTAAGGTAGTATTTTGAAAACTAAGCATACTTACCTTGATTCAATATGTTTTAGTAGAAATATAAAATTAATAATTGATCAATTTATTGTAATATAACATAGAAAAGCTTCTATGTTTAATGGGCATTATTTATGATTATCGAATTGTCACCAATAAAACAGCACAATATGACTAATTCAATAAATATGTTAAATTGTTAAATTGGTATTTTAAATAAGATACAATATTTATATATATTTTATTGAAGTAGCTATAGTATTGTAAATAGATAAGATTATTTAAGGATATCAATTATATTTGACAAATTAATCATATATCATCAGGTTTGGTATTATGTTAAAAATACATTTCAAATTCATTAAAAACTTTTCATGATTGAATTCTGAAATAATTAAATCCGTAAAAATTATATTTAAAAATATTAAAAAATGTACTTGAATTGGCTTTCCCTTTTTTATTTTATAAGTATTGCTTATCAGAAAGAATAGCTTTATGAAAACTTTAATTCAAAATTAATTTCATCAACTGCAGATTGGTAATGCAATCGACCAAGCTAGGGTAATTCGAAAATCTATAGTTGTAATAAGGGATCATAGGTTATTATTATAGATTATTCATGCTATGAAATAGAAAAAATTATAACTGTTAATATGCCTCATTTTATCTATAAATTTATTTAGATATTTATGCATTTGGTAGTATCGATGATAATGAACCTACTAAGATATCAATTGATGATTTAGAAAAGTTAGAATATTATAAGCAGCCTTACTAAAATTGTCCATTTGGGAAGACGTTCTAATGTAATTACATACAACATTAAGATTGGAACTGTTAAATGGGAGAGACATTTATAATTTAATAATCTCATAAAAATAACTAAATAAAAATAAAATTACATAGTGTATTATCATCATCATATGATAATGAAGCATATCTTTTAAGAAATGTGTAAATTTTTTATAATAGATGCTATAAAACTTGTAAAACATGCTCTAATTCAGAAAAGAATGGCTGTATCGATTGCTATAATGGAATGATCAGTAATTCAAACATCTGTGATTCATGTAATAGACTAAGTAATGAAAAATTCCTAATAATTCCTGATGGTTGTTAAAAGGAGTGCCCAATTGGCCACAGTTATGATGAAGATTACATCTGTTATTAAAATAATAGTAATTTTTTCTATATTTTAAGGATTATTGTAGATTGCAATATCATCTAATATTTAGACACAAATATCATTAATTGAATAAAATATTATTTAACTACTATAATCTGCTATCTCAATAAGAATTGTAGTTACCATAAAATTCATAACAAATTAAAATATTTATATATATTTTAATGAGAGATAAATATTAACAATCTACATCAATTAATTTATTTATATAGATCCTAATACAAAAGTTGCTCTTATTTTTTAAGGGACTGATAAAATTAGAATTGAATTAAATTCTAAAATTGATTCGACCAATTTAATTATTAAATTTAAGAATTCAGAAGTGAGTTCATCCATCTAAATTGAAGATTTTTAAATAGAATAGGAATTATGTGTTGAATTTTGTTAAATTTGTAAAAGCTACAATTAATGTCAAATTTGTGACACTTATAAGAAACTATATAATGGCTTATGTGTTGATAAATGTCCTGAATCCACTAATGAAGTATAAAATAGTTGTTTTGAATTGGATGAAAAATTAGATGATTAGGAACATCTAATTTGGAAAATATTGGTTAGAGAATTTTTCGACATTTCAACAACAAAAGAAAAAATTGATAATTTATTTACTCTTGAGAATAGTCTTAACAATAATTTAAATTTTCAAAAAGGTTAAGGTATTTACTTTTCATACATTCCTGATAAAAGAATATTTGGGGGACCATTTGTTTGGGTAAATGCATAATTTAAATTTTTCCTTAAATTAACTGAATAAGAATAAGTTCTAAAATTGAGTTTTGAAGTCTTCTTAGGAAGTAAGTAAAATAAATAAAATTCATTACACTTTACTGTTAATAATAATAACAATGTATAAACATTATTATTATCAAACAATTAAAATGTCTTAGAAGACCATAGTTGGGATGACAATTATAAGACATAAAAATTTGTTGTAACTTAAATGGTTTATTATCAATCAAGTAGGTAAAATGAATTAAACATACTATTTCATTGTGATAGTGATGACAATCAAGCTTTTTGTGGAATTCAAAACTTTAAAGTGATATCAATTTAATGCTAGAAAGGCTTTTTATTTGATTAATATAATTATTACTTGAAATAAAACCCTTGCATTCCTATTTGTGGTGATAATCTTGTAGTAGGTAATGAGGAATGTGATGATGGAAATCTAGAGCCATTTGATGGATGTTATTTATGCATGTTTTAATGTGAAGAGAATTGTAGTTTTTGTATTTATGGGTAATGTTTATTTACATTAAATTCAATAATCTATAAGTTTGATATTATTGATCTTCCACCATCTCAAAATTAGGAAGTGTTATGCTAATTATCATGTCAAATTTGTATTAGTAATATGTGTATCTAATGCAGTTAAGGTTTCTATTTAAATTTAATAACTAATTAATGTGAAACCATATGTGGTGATTCTATTGTTGGAGGGAAGGAAGAGTGCGATGATGGTAATTTAGATAATTATGATGGATGTTCATACTGCTAATTAGTTAAATTTAATAAATGTGATTATGATGTAGATAATTCTAAATAAAAGTGTGCAGTATGTCATTTTGGCATTTGTATTTAATGTAATTAAGGATATTACAAAGAGGATGATAATTGTTATTCATATTGTGGTGATGGACTAGTAAATGAATAAACAGAAGAATGTGATAATTATAATGAAATAGGATGCGTGAATTGTAAAGTAGCAGATGGATATATTTGTGTTAAATTAGGTTTATCTCCTTGCTTAACTTGTGGCAGCAATTGTATTGAATGTTAACGAATAAATTAGGATAAACTTTAATGTTTAAGTTGTTTAGATGGATATTATCCATTCAATGATGAATGTCTTATATGTGATTCTTATTGTATTACTTGCAAAGATCAACCAAATCTATGTACTTCTTGTTACAGAAATGATTGTGAATTATGCGAAAGATTTCCTGGTCTTTATACTGACATTTAACTAAAGAAGTGCATTTCAAAATGTGGAGATGGAATATTAATCAAAGAATCTGAGGCTTGTGATGATGGAAATTAAAATAATAATGATGGATGTAATTCAGAATGTAGTATTGAATACTCAAAAGAAATGATAAATTCTCAAAAAAGATGGGAATATAAAGGAAAGAATTCTTATTAAGTTTACTTATAGAATTTGGATCTCAATTTAAATTGTCAATCGGCAAATATAACAATTGATCGTTACAAAATCGAAGATTTCTAGTACAACTTTACAAAATATAATGAAATTTGTATTTTTCAATTTGAATATTCAACTTCAATATTCAAATATAATACTATACATGTGATCCTTTCAATTTCAGTCTAATCTTATAGAATTTTGAATGAATTGGATTAATTTTAAGTCTAATTTACTATTGAACCATAAGAATAAATCATTAGATCAGAAACAGAATAAGTTTATGCTGAAAAAATAGAAAAATATATGTAGAATTTTGCTTTATTAATACTTATACTAATTCCTTTATCAATAATAACAGAAACATATGAGTATTTATGGAATATATTAGAAGTTTTAAGTTGGATAAATAATTTCTATTTTTTTAATGTTAAGTATCCATTTGTAGCTGAATACTTTTTTATTATAAGTGATTGGTCATAAATAATAGATTTTCCAACTTTTTAAGGGTGGAATCAACCAGGATGTGATTATTATTTTTAAGCCCCCTAACGATTTTAAAATAAAGGAATTAATCCCTTATTTATTAACAATGCCCAAGTATCATTCATGTTTATATGTTCAGCAATAGTATTTTATGCTATAAATTATTTAATTTTAATATTATTTTCAATTCTAGATTCAATTTTAAAAAAATAGATTATTGTCAACTTAAAACATTTTAGTATATTTAATTTATAGAAAATTTCCACTTTAAATCCTAATGCTCGAACCAAATAAGTTATAATTTAGTATAACTAATTTACTTCTAAAATAGTTATTAAATTAATAGCAATTTCTAAAAATTTTAAAAGTAAAATAAAATCAACTATTAACTTATGCTTTTTGGATATTACAATGGCCATAGTATTGTAATTAACTTTCGCTAAGAGATTTGAAAATCTCATTATCACTTTTAATCATGGATTAGCATTCTTTTCAATAGGATTAATTTGTTATTAACTCTACTAATAATGTCAAACCCTCAACATCCATAAACTTTTAGCAGAGAATTAACAATTTAAAGAAAAATATGAAATATATTATGAAGACATTAATACAGAGATTTCATTTGGATATTATTACAAATTAATAGGGTTATTAAGAAAAGTATTCTACATATTTTTCATGATATAATTTTATTCTTACCCTTTGATTCAAACATCTTTATGCTTAATATCTAGTTCACTAGGTTTTATATTATTATTTTATGTGAATCCTTTCTCAAATAAAATGATATATTTCACTCATTTTATATCAGAGCTCTGCTTAAATACAATCATACTAATTGTTGTTTTATTAGCAGTTCATGATTAAAACAATATAAATTTCATTGAAAATAATATAATTATAATTGGATGGATTATTATATCTTTTGTAGTTTTAGCTGTTGTCTTTGAAATAACAGTGTTATGTGTTTTATTAATTAAATCTTTATACTAAAAATTGAAATTTATTCTGGGTAAGTATTAAAACATCTAAAATATAAATTAGGAACCAAGTAACCAAATTCCAGAGTCTAAAAACAACTTGCAGAATCAATAGAATCACTAACTCTGTAAAATAAAACAAAAATAATCATTAAATAATTTACCCATTAGACGAATCAATTTAAGATTTTATGGCAAAATGGAATGTAACTAAAACCTTTAGAAATGATATTTTATTTGAATGTGAACAAACTATAAATTAGGATTAATATTACGAATAAAACTTCCATATTTAAAAATTGATTTTTTTTTTCTATAAATTAAATTTGCAAAAGTGTTTTAGAACAGCAGTATTATTAATTAATGAGTTTGAAATTCTCTTGAAGCTGATAAGTAAAAGCTTCATTGATTTATTGAACGTTCTTTAGAAATTCCTTGTTATTTTCTTTATAGAATAAATTATTATATTCATTTGCTATTTTAAATCTTAATTTTGATATCCATTTACTTATAATTAAAGACTATATTACAATTTCTTGTCTAAATTACAATATAAATTTAAATTTAAATTACAGATAAATAAACAACAATAATAGTGTAAATTAGTGGATGAAGTTTTTATGACCGAAATTATTTCTTTCAGAATTGACAGAAATCAACTTATTAACCAATATCATACAAAGCTTCTGACTTAAAAAGGAAAAGCATTCTAAATATCAAATTTGATTAATATTAATTAATATGATTTCATTAAGATCTAAAATGCCAGAGTACTCGAACTCTATATTGAGGAACTAAATTATAAAAGAATAAGAAGTAGATAAATGGGATTAAAACAAAGGGAGACTTGTTAAGACTAAAATTCAAATTACAATTACATAAGAGAATTACATCATCTACTCATCTAAAGAAGGTGTAATTTTGAGACAGTATATGAGGATTTGTTATTTTTATAAAGGGAATTAAATTAAGACAATTATATAAATTCAGAAGTTTTGAATAATATGGAATAGATTATACATCTTAAATGGCATGGTGAATATGGACAGAATTAAAGAAAATTAGGCAAATGGGTAGCCACTTGGAGTGGGGAAGCTCTTTAAAATGTTGGAGGATACTACAAAGATGGTTTAAAGGAAGGTTTATGGAAGGAGCCAATTAAGAATTATTAGAGGTATACAAAATTAAAAAATCTTTATATAGTAATGCTTAAGTATTTGAAAGTGGAGGATATTTTCATAATTAAAAATGTGGTCGATGGAATTTCATTTAAAATAACGAAACTATGTATTATGATTTATCATCGATATAGAGGAGGTGGATCATACAATCAGCAAGCTTAGAAAAATGGTAAATGGACTGAATTGTAGGAAGGTTTTTCAGATGATTTATAAGTAACTTGGAAAGGTGAGTACAAAATTGGTATAAAAGTTGGTATATGGGATATTTTGTATGAAAATTCAAAAATGTAAAAATAATCTATAAAAAAACTTATGATAAAAATTAACATATGTGTGTAATAGTGGTGGTGGATCATTTGGAGATGGTTAAGGAATTAAGTAGGGCAATTGGGTGGAAATATGGAAGGGATTTTATTATTTCAGTTAAGTAACTGAAAATGGTGAATATAAGAATGGCAAAAAATTTGGGAGATGGGATATTTGGTATAAGGATATAGAGAATAATACAATTACAAAGATGTAAAAAAATCATAATATAAATGCTTTTATTTTTTAAGTGGAGGTGGATCATATGATGAAGGAGGCAATAAGTCAGCTAATTGGGTGGAAATATCAGATGGTTTTTGCGAAGATTCTTAAGTAATTTATCATGGTGAATATTAAAATGGGAAAAAAATTGGTAAATGGGATATTTGGTATAAGAAGGAGTATGGAGATTTAGAAAATACAAGAATGTAAAAAATAATATATAAAAAGTGTATAACTATACAAAAATATGTGTGCTTTAAAGTGGTGGTGGATCATATGATGAATAAGGCAATAAGTAAGGTAGTTGGGTTGAATTAACGGATGGTTTTTGTGAAGATTCTTAAGTAATTTAGGATGGGAAATATAAAAATGGAAAAAAAATTGGTAGATGGGATATTTGGTATAGAGAAGATGATGAAAACATTAAAATGTAAAAAATAATATATAAGTGCGTATACTAATACATTTATGTGTGAAAGTGGGGGTGGATAATATGATGAAGAAGGTAATGGGATAAAATTTGGTAAATGGGTAGAAATTTCGGATGGATTTTACGATTCTTCTTAAGTAACTTGGGATGGTGATTATAAAAATAATAAAAAAATTGGTAAATGGGATATTTGGTATGAAAATTCAAAGATGTAAAATTATAATATAAAGTGCACAAAATAATATTCAATTTTTTTGATAAAGTGGTGGTGGATCATACGATGAATTAGGTTAAGAGATTAAATTGGGTTATTGGGTTGAAGTTTCTGAAGGTTTTAAATATGATTAACAGGTAACTTGGGATGGTGAATATAAGAATGGCAAAAAGTTTGGTAGATGGGATTTATGGTATAAGGATATAGATAGTAATAAAATTACAAAGATGTAAAAATATGATATAAAGCGCTCAAAATAATAATCAATGTGTTTGAAAAGTGGTGATGCATCATATGACGAGCTAGGTTAAGAGACAAAATTGGGAAATTGGGCGAAAGTTTCGGAAGGTTTTAATAATGATTCTTAAATAACTAAGAAAGGTGAATATAAAATTGATAAAAATTTTGATATTTGGATGATTAGAGAAAACAAAGTAAAAGAAATAGATTACGAAAAATGAAATAGTAAAAATATAAAAATATATATTAATCTTATAAATGAATAAATATTTTTCGGCGAATCTTAACTATAAAAAAATAAAATACCATCAAAAATTATTAGAAAAACAAGATTGAAACCTCCCCTTAAATTTTTGAGTAATTATTTTAAAAGAAAATGAGAAATATTAAAAATTAAAAGATAATTATTTTAAATTAAAAGTTCATTTTTTTCAACATCAAAGGCTCTATTATAATAGAAAGTAATTGTAATTATCCTTTTAAGAAATCTCCTAACCCATACGATTATGTCCTCTATAAATGAAGGTCATATATTTAGAGTTAGTGAGAACTTTGAACTAAATTAATGCTTTCGAACTAAATCTAATTGATAGTTAAAAGAATATATTTATATTTCATTTAAATTTTAATTGTCTTCTTTCTATTTAATGTGATAAAGGAATTCAAAAAAGTAGTAGTATAACCATAAATATTTGAGTTTAACTCTCAAATACTAAATTATTTTCAATTAACAATCACTAAAGTATAGTTTTGGTATGACCAAAATTGTAATTCAAATCAAAATCAGGGAGAGTTACTGCGAAAGGAATAAAAGATACTCCAGTATAAATTAAATATCTATTCTACTCTCCTTTAAGAATAATCATAGATTATTTATTATTAATAATCTTTATCATTTACTTGTTAATCGAAAATAGCTCTAAAATTATTTTAAAGTTTAATATTTTTATATATAATCGCTGCCTATAAGTTGATTTTAAGGAGATGTTTAAATTAGTAATTATAACAGTTACATTGTTAATTTTAATTTCTTTATATTCAAATAATATTGTAATTTTAATTTTTTTCAATAGAGAATAGATAACTTTGAATTAATAAGATTTTCTTCGAAATTAACTCTTATTTACTTACTATATTAAAGAATATTAGATTTAAGAGGAGAAAAATGAAATTATTTACCACCAATCTCAGCGTAAAATATACTAAAAATCTTTATATATATGAAATCTCTCTATTTTTATATATATATATTTATAATACTAAAACTGATTATCCTATATTATAGATCCTGTTCAGATTACAAAAAAATTCAAAAATAAAATTGAATACTTATAAAGAATATTATTAAGTCACTAAGAAATAGTTGTAATAGTAAACTAATAGTTAATCAGATTAAGAACTTCATATTTATAGATTAAGCTTTTATGCTTTTCAGTTTATTAATCATAATATTATAGTGCTATAATATCCTAATTTTTTGAGCAAATAGATATGCCTTAAAGATGCATATAAATTCTGTAATTTAAAATAATTTTATTCTTATTTTCCAATTTTAGATGTTAATCCTAATAAGTAGAAATAATTTAAAAAGCATTTTTGATAATATTAAAATAATATAAATAAAGGATTCTTCGAATAAATGAATTTCATAAAAAAGTTTATATTATTTGAATGAATATCATATACACGTATATCTTCATATGTATTTTCATAATAATTACAAATTTATTAATAACAATTAAATGTTTAGACTTATGATTGAGTAATTATATATAGTATCAAAAATATCTTGATCTTCCTTTTTTTTTCATAATGATCTCCAAATTCGATCCAAATATAGAAGGAATTGCATATACTTTAAGAAGTTCATTTAGACCTCAATTTTTATGCTTCTGGCTCTTTTCTGTTGATTGGCTTGCTGTTAGTGATGGAAATATGTGCAAAAAGATGATTCATCAGGCTCCTTAAGCTTTTCGTAATTCTTTAAAAATTACCTTTCGTAAGAATAAATAATTAAAAAGACAATATTTTCTAGATGAACACTAGCAATAATTTCTGAGGTAAATGAAATTTTTATAGTATTTGCAATTCTTTGGATACATTTCTTAGTCTTTGAGGACCATTATTTCTAATCTCAAATTATTTGATTCCATTATAGACCCAAAAATTGAGTTGTATGAGATACAACTATAGAGTTGTTAACTGAAAATTTTAAATATTATTAATTGCAAAAATTGAGATTGATTTCCAATTTATATCAAAAAATACTCAATAATAATCACGTAATCTGAATAGTACATAAATTATCATTTAATAATATCTAAGTTATTAAATTAAGTGAGTCTATGTATATACATTTTAAAAGCTAATCTTAAAATAACTAAGATAATTTATTAGATGCAAGCAAAAAATAATTTAAATAAAAATTACTAAATTAATATCCATTTTAATTCAAAATTAAATAAAAGAGGAATTCTTTACCAATTTATATATATAAATATAATAACTTTTTTAATTAATTAAGACCTATCATTCAACCCTTTCCAACAAAAGATGTCATTCTAGATGATGTTGATTAAAAAATTCAAAATTTTATTTAATTTACAATAAAGTTTCTAATATTCCCTTCATTACCATTTTCTTTGCCTAATACAATTGTGATTAATTCAAGGTCCTAAATGATTGAAAATTTTTTATTGGCTTCCTTATTCATTGATCATAATTAACATCTTCAATGTTGATTCAAAATAGCAATCATTGGTGTACTATTATCACCCAAACCTAATTAATTAATCTAATATTTTCATCAAAGCTTCTCTTCCTTTTATATAGCTTGAAAATAAGGATTAGTTGAATCCAATCCAACTTCTTATTTTGAAAAATCTTAATCACATCTTCTACCCATCAAAGCCTAGATATAAAGCATGTATTTCTTTTGAGGATGATTATTTTAAAAATAAGTTGCTATTTTATAGATTAATTCTTCTGGAACTCTATCCCAATATGCTAATTATGGATGAGTGAATGAGTATCTATCACTATTAAAATAGGCTTGAACTTTCAAAAGGTCTAGCAATCATTCTACTTCCTGCAAAATTGAAAGACTCAACCTTGGTTCTGACTACCTAATTTTTTACATACTAATTATTATATTTTTTAGTCTTTTACATGGCTCTTTAAGGAACTCCAATTACATTATCCAATTTTAATTAACAATCTACCTAATTCAAATCAAAATCCATATATTTAAAAGAGAGTTCAAAATCATCACTATTATTAATATTAGATAATCCATTTAACAAAAAGGGAAGGCAACAGCAAACTCAGATGTGAAATAGTGTCATTAGGTAGTTCTTATATGTCGTTTGTTCTTCTCTAATTAAGGCCTAATATTTTGTATGGATCAAAGTATATGGTCCACCTCCTCATTCTGGAGTAATACCCTACACCATATAAATGAATTTTTCAGGATTCCTTTTATATTCTCTGATATTTCTAAGTTCAGTCAAGATCAATCTATATCTTTATCGTGTGTCACTATTTGCAATCATAGTTATTTTAGAATCAGTATTGTTTGTTAAAGAAAAGGTTTCCAATAAAGGTTTTATTTCTACATTCTAAACATTATATTTATAAATTAGATCATTCACTTAATCATACTATGATTAATCACTTAATCATACTATGATTAAGTTTTGAAATTAGCAATAATAACCATATCTGATGCTTTTGCATTAGCATTTAAAAGCGAGATTTTTTTGGATATATTTTTTATTATTCGTTTGATTGAGTCAACCTTAATCATCGATTAGGTAAATATTAAGAATGATAAATTAATGATTCCTCAATATAAGAAATATTCTATATAATAATAAGATGGGTAATTTTCTTTAAATATTCTTTATTTTTTTGATTGAATAAATAATTTAACAGCATAATTAAGATACTTATAATCATTTTATTCAATCCTTTGAAGCATTCTACTTTTAGTAATCAACTCAGTCAATGAATTTGGTTAAGTTGGATGGAAAGTGAACACATTCTTAACTCTATTAATTTTTACTTAAATTTTATTTATAAATATATAAATTTATAAATACTTTATCTCTTTGATTAAAATATTCGATAATTTTAAATTAATCAAGATATTCATATCTAGCATAATGACTGCTTAGTCTATCAAATATCATAAAGCTATAAATATGACATAATAATGGTTCTGGTTAATCCTTTTCTCCACAAATTAAGTTCTCCATTTCCTTTCCTTAATATGTATTATCAAAATAGATGGACAAGGCATCTTGTAATAATTTTGTTTCTTCTTATGCTAAGTTATCAATATATGCATCTAAGATTTGTAGGATTGTCTTTTTCTTTCTAGGGTTAATGTGTCTGAAGTAATTATACTATTAATCAATTTTTATTTATATTCCCAGATCGATAAATCTAATTCGAGATTATTCGAGTGATGGTTCTTCTTGTATGAATTTTTTAATTTCTACAATAGAGTAGCTTTTATCTCTGCATTTGCTACAATCCAAAGAATGTTCTTTTCTCTTAATTATATTTCTTTTAAATTCACAGACAACAAATATTTAGGCTTAGTTTAGGTGAGTTGCATTGTTTAAGTAGGATGTAATCGATTGTAACATATATTTAAAAATTAATGATAATTTATTCTAGGATAGTGATAGATAATACTAATGTTTTTTGAGGGTTGTTGATAATATAATAACAAATAACAGAGTAGGTCAAATTATGAGGTATTAATAGACACTTAGAAGTATGGAATTTGACTATTTGAGGTAATGAGCAAAAATTATATTGATAATGATTTCGATTAAAATATTAATCTATAAAATTGATTAAAGTGAGAATTAAATTAGATTGAATAATTAAGATAAAATAGAGTATATCTAATTGTAGCTGCAATTAATGATTGTTGGTTAATTAAGTATAAAATAATAATTATTATTAGTATCAAGTCAATAATATAGAATAACACGATGCTATTTTATACAATTAAAATCTGAGGAAAAATGTATTAAAATGTCTCAACAATATTTTAATGAGATAGTACAAAAAAGTTTGTTAAATTTCAAAAACAACTACCCTCCAATACCTAGTTATGCAACATATTATGATTCATTTTCTAAAACTGATTGTCGAAAAGCGGCACATTGTACTTATTGTTGGAATTATTCAGCTTGTGCATAGGTGGAAAACAAATTTACATTTTTTTAAAGTTGTGGAGCATTTGCTAAAAAATCAGATTAAAAATGTTAAGCAATAAGTAATAGATTTAAATCAGATGGAACTCTTTTAATGGAAATAGATGATTGCACTACTTATAAAAAATAAATAGTTTGTATTAAAAACACTGTAGGAATTCATGCTATTGGAATTCAACAAGTAATACATGTGTAGATCTAACACTTGTGATAAATTACCATAAAGTTTAATTTCTGAAAAAGTTTGCAGAGATGCCATAATGACATGTACTACAAAGAGTGAAGATGGATGTATAATAACTGTAAATAATTATTGTGATTCAAAATTAGAAAGATAATGTGTTTGGAATTAATCAAAAACAACAGTTTATTAGTGGGATAAAGCAAAAATTGTAAAGATAGAAATTGTGATAATGCTTCTAAAAATTGATAACTGATGATGCAAGTAAATCTTTCAGAACAGATTGTACATGTACAACTAAACTTAATGGTGGATGTGTAACAAGAATTACATGTACTTCTGCAAAAATTCAAAAGCTTTGCATCTAGAATATATTAGGAAAGAATTGTTTATGGAATAGTGTAAATTGCGTTGATAAACTCTATGCAATTGCTTTAATTACATTAACTACTAATTCTGATTTTGCAGGATTCTTAACAGGATGCATTACTAAATTAAGTGGAGGTTGAGTTGAAAATGGGCCAAATTCAGTAGTAAATATACAAATAGCTTGTGTATAGAACTACATAGGGATTACTTTTATTTTGGATGCAACTTGCAAAGAAAAGATACGTACGAATGCACTATTATCAAATAATTCTCATCAGCTATATGCATGTTATCTAGCATCCTGTACTGTTAAATCAAGTGGTGGTTATTAAAATAGAACATGTACTAATGCTCCCATTACTATAACAACAAATGGAGAATATGAAACATATCAATCAGCATAGAATTGTATTGCAAAAACTAGTGGGGATGCAATAAAAATACTACTTACTCAGCAATTATTTTAGATACTGCTTTTATTAAGAATTCGCTAGGTTTTGCTTGTTTTTGGGATTCAAAAAGTACAGTTGCAAAAATAAGAAATTTTTGAATGCACCTTCAAATAATAACACGCATGAGCTTTGTTAATCTTTTTTGAATAAATATACTGTCAATTCTACAAATACAGGATAAGTTGACAAAACATGTGAAAATTCATTGATATTAGCTATTTGTGACAAAGATATTAACATTAAGATTTATATATGGAAAGGTAAATGTTAAAAGAAACTTTGCGTCTTGGCTTCATCATCCATAACCATTCACACTGATTGTAAAATTATCATTCCCTTTGTACTATAAGGGACACAAGGTTAGGATGAGTTAATACTCCTATAATAGTAAATGGGTCCTCTACTATCAAAGATGTTAAGATTTGCCAACTTCATGTTCAGCCAGAAGAATATCTGAAAATTGTGAAATATAAAGAGTAGGATTTCCAACTTGCAAAAGGGTTTAATCTTTTTCATCTTGTGTTAAAAAGTCTTGTACAACAGCTAATCTAGTAGGAACAACTAATGCAATTTCACCAAAATAATTTTCAGTTGTTAATTGTTCAAGCTATAAACTCTATTTGTAAAAACTGATGCATAATGTGCTTGTATTTACACATAGAATCCTTGTATTTCAAATAATACATCTGATGGATGCATGAATAAACCTTCTAGTTGTAATTCATTAGTCTAAGGTGACTGTAAAATTGGGTCTAGACTGAGTGGTAATTGTTATTGGAATGTATCTAATAGTGTTGATAAGTGTTTTGCAAATATAATAACAATTATTCGTAATGATTGTAATAGTAAATTTGATCTATGCACAGTAAATAATGGTTAAACTAATTGTTAACCACTGTAAGATTCATGTTCTACTTACAACACTTAAGATAACTGTATAATAACAACTAAGAATAAAAAATGCTATTGGACTGGTATAGTTTGCAGAAACTCAACTTGTGCTGATGCTCCAGATACAATAGCATATGATTCAGATCAAGAATTTTAAGGTTATCCTGTTACAACTTGAATGTAAAATACAAAATTGGAGGGATAGGATCTGCTCCAAAACTAACTAATTTTACAGATTATATGAAATAAGAGCAATGTCATTAAACTATCTCAAATTAAACAGGAGTTGAGTATTGCAAATGGATTTTTGATAAATTCTATTCTTTATCTACATTTGCAACAGGAGCTTGTTCATCATTCAAAGGAACATAGTTCATTTGTTAATAATATAGAATTGGATGTACAAATGTTGGTAGTGCTTCTGCTTAATCTATCTGCACAGTAGATTGTACTCTAAAAAACTGGAGTAAATTTAACATTTTCATATTGTTAAACAGTTGATGCATCATGTTCTGAAAAAAATTGGTATTGGATGTATTGTCATAATCTACTTGCTCATTGCTCAGGATTTGAATAATTATTAAAAAATTTTTAGATTAAATGCTGGATTGTGAGATATGAATAATGCTGTTCCTTCTACTTTTTGTGACTTAAGCATTTGAGTGTATCCTTCTAATTGGATTAACAGGTTTTGACCGTGCTAAATGTTAAGCTTATAATTCCTTATATACTTCTTTAAGAGATAGATGCTAACCATTTTAGCAAATTTGAACAAGGTATTTTAATAACAATTCCTGTATCATTATTCCAACAGGTAAATGCTTTCTTAGTGGTCGTTCTTGTATTAGTATAATTAGTAAGGCATATTGTTCAACAATAGCTGGATTAATAGGGTAGGATTATGCAAAATGTCAAGCCTACTTCAATGGTTGTACATCAATTTGAGATGGTACTAGATGTTAAGAACTCAAAAATTCATGTAAAGACTATCCAGGAACTGTAGCTGGATGTACTAGATCATCAATTAGAAAATGGTATTTATTTACATTTATTATTGTTATATTTTAATAAGAGATTTATATTTAATAATATAATATATATATATCTTATACAAGCATTAATCTCCTTACTGTAATAATACTACTTTATTACTATTCCAAATCCAGGAACTAATATGTGCAAAGATAACTGGATCTGCTGCAACTATAACCTATGAATTTTATTAATCATACAACCCAGTATGTAGTGTGTATAAAGCTAAGAGTGCATGCAGAATCAGAATTAAGATAAGCGGAAACATTACTGATCAGTTCAAAATCACAAGAAAAGCAGTATTCTGAAAATCGAAAAAATGAAATTCCTAAAGAAGATACTACCTTTTAGATTACTGACTAAACTATGGATTCTACCTTTAATTAGGTATAATAACATTTCCATCTAGTTGTAAAAGAAAAGCTAGATCAAAAAAAATGGCTAGTCTTAAAAAGAAATTCCTTTAGATTAGTCATGGGTCTTGGCAATTATTACCCAAAAGAAATGATTGACAAAATTATTGTTCTACTGGAAGTGGACTTTCAAAAAGGCAATTATTTTGACAGACAAATCCAATATGAAATTTTCAGAGATTTCATCTGGAAAGAAATTAAAGTAAAAGAAGATTTTATTAAGAGAAAATGCAACTTTGAAGATAACTCGATACTGGTATACTATTATCAGTATCAGACAAAACTTTTAAAGGAAAGACATGATTGAGAAATTGGCGATATTTACCGAATGTCAGGAGGAAACCTATGGGAAAGCTTTATTGAAAGAAACCCTGAATTCGAAGAAAAATAAAATTTATGATAAGAAGAGTTTGAAAGAGTGGACAAGAAGCGTATGGAAATTAAGAAAGAAGAAGAAATTCTTAAGGATCAAATGAGAAGAACCTGTTTTCTTCAATTTAGAAGAATCCCTGGCTATTCATACTTTGAACTATGGAAACATTAATGGAGAAGATGCAAAGAGCCTAATTAACTAATGAATATAGATCACATCTGTGAACACCTGAGTAGCGTGTTCAAAGGAGCAAATGAAAAAATTGAAAAAATTCTAAAATATACTAAGAAAATTAATGACTCTCTGGTTAAGGAAACATAAAAAGCTATAACAGAGCAAATGAAGGACATAGCCAAGTCGATCTAGAAGATGATTAAAGAGGACTGTAAAGCTTACACTCCTAAACAAAAAGAACCCGTAGTGTAAAAATTGGCTTAATGAGCAAACATTATGCTTTATTCGTTTCGGTATTAATCCTCAAATAAATAAATTGACCATCAAGATATTTTTATAATTTGAAAACTTATTAGATTAGGAATATAATTTGCCATTACATACTTCCATAGACTATTCTATTAAACTAATCCTAAAAAATTAGTAAGAACTTAATAATAAAATAAGAACTCAGAATTTAATTATAAATAGAGATAAAGAATATTTATACAAATAGAGAGGCAAAGAACTAAACTTTAGAAATTTGAAACAGCAAGTAATTAATAAATGGCTACTTTTAATTTCAGATAGTATATAAGAAGAATAGAATTATGAATAATTTTTGTTTAAAATATTCTATAATAGAGGAGAAGTAACTCCAATCATGGATACCCTTCTAAATTTAGAGTAGACTAAAATGTTTTTATTTCATATTTCAATGAGATTTAAACAATTTTTTTTAATTTCCAAAAATACTTCTGGCCTCTGCATTAGTGTATTTAGAGCGGAAATTATAAAAGATTAATTGATTTTCATTCTTTTTTGCTAAATTTAAAAGAGAAATACCATTTCTAGATTTTAAATACATCAATTAATGGAATCAATCTTGGTATTTTCCATTTAATAAAGGATCAAATTAATGTGGTAGTTCTGGTACAGACTATGATACAACATAATATAATGATTTTGCTTTACATACAATAATTTTTGAATTATACTCAGATTTTAATCCAAATGTAGTTTATATATTTTTAATATCTTAAGAAATTTTTGGGTCTAACCAATTTTTAGATAGCATTAAATGAATTTTACTAATTATGTCAATTTTATTTAGATTCAACAGTTGATTGTATCATGTGGATTTAATGGCAATCATTTTTCAAGTCTTTATTGAGAGAAATCATCAATGTTAATTAAAATGTATATAAGGATGTAAGAAATGTACTTATGGTATTTATTATGATGACTGTCCAAATGGAGAAATGAATATTGATGGTATTTGCTATTCAATTTGTAGTGATGAGAATAAAATATAGTTTGATGGATGCTTTAATTGTAAATTTCATCAGCATTGTGTTATTTTTTTTTGAGGGAATTTTTTATGAATGCTAGTAATACTATAAATGATTAATAGTGCATTTTATGATGGCTGTGGTACAGAAATAAAATTTTACTATGAATAATTTGATTATTACAATCTAATAGATGATGATGGCTGCTCCTCTAATTGTAAGATTGAGGTTGATTATAAGTGTTAAGAAAAATTATAGTTACTTTGAATGACAATATCCTGAATCTTCTTTAATAATAGTCAAATTCTTAAATCAAACTTATAATAAATATTATTTTGAAATTTCATACTCTTAAGCAATCTTATTTAGGTATATTTATGTTTTGGAATCTCTATTTGATTTTAGTATTGATGAAGTACACAAAGAGAATTATTAAATCAAACTATTTATTAATTAAATTCTAACTTTTAATTTTAGGCATAAATTGAATTCTAAATCTCACCTAATAATAATTTAGTATAATTTAGTATTGGTTATGAATTAACGTTAATAATTAAGATGAAATGGAATTAATAAAATCATCTGAGAAAATATTAATTAAAATATATTATCAAATGAGTTCTTCTTCAATAGAAACAGACTAAATAACTCCCTCAATATTAAGAAGTAATCATAATTACGTAAGGGATTAGAAGTTTAATAATGTTAATTTCTGAAAGTTTTTTTTGTTTTTGTTGATATATTAGACTACTTACTTACTTTATCTTCTATCTAATTTATAAATGTAAATTTCAATATTTAATTATAATTTTAGATAATAATAGTAATAAATATTTAAGGATAGTACTTATATATGTTTATATATTTGTAAAAATTATCCCATATAATTAAATAGGATCCATTTTCATTTAAAGCAACCTAAGCAGAAGAATCTTAAAATTGCAGTTCAAACTCAGTCAAAAAATAAGGATCATCTTATATTTTAATAAAATTCAATGATATTCCATCATTATTTAAGAGTATCTACTTTTCTTAACATATATAAATTTGATTGAATTTCCTAAAACTACAGTTGCCATAACTTTAAATATTGAATTCTTTCAATTTAATTAATTAATAGCCTTGATTCTTAAATTTGTACAAATCCTATGTTTTGAATGTTTGTTAGACTGAAAATGAATCATTTCCAATAAAGCTTATTCATTGTCCTAATTTATCTATATTAATATTTTTTGTTTCATCCAATATGTTCCTCTTTTGATCAATTTAACTATACTATTGCTATAATTTGTTATAATTAATTTATCTCCTTTTTCATTAAAACTTACAGAAAATATTCTGATATTATTTATATAAGAAAATTCAGATTACAATAAACTTTATTTGATACAAAATAATCCTTTCCAATCATTAATCATTACATGAAATTATAGAATCTGAATATTTACTAGATTGTGATAGATTGGTTATAAGTGATAACTTAATTTTTATATGTATTTTCCTTGATTTATACCTATTCTGCTTGGTATTTATAATTATACATTAAAAATTGCAAATAAAAATAAATAAGATTCTATGCAAATGACTGTGGATTTAGTAATTTAAAATAAAGAGATGTATATGAATTTTTCATTATTAAATAAGTAAGCCTTCAAAATCATCCAAAAACTAGCCATAATCAAAGTTGAAGCGTTATCAAATGATAAGGAATTATGTTTAATCTAAAACATCATTTCTAAGCTATTTTTGCTCTTTTACAACTAATGTGCCTTCTTCTAGAAATATTAGTTTGCATAATTATGATTATTATTTTTAATTTTAATTTATATAATATTTAGAATAAAATTTATAATTTTTTATTAAAAGAGTATATTTAATAGAAATAATTCTATTGTTTACTACAGTCTAATCAATAATCAAAACAACTTTCATTGATGTAGATGGAACAAATATAATAAAATCAATTAAAAAATGTTATTAATTCTAATATTTTATTTTACCTCTTCAAATTATATTGATAATAGTATAATTGATCAATTAAGATAAAGCTACATGTTTCATATAAATCAAAAATAGAGTTATTATCTTTCATTGTAAATTTCTTTCTTGACATTTATATCAATTAATTCAATTTAATATATATAATTATTATCATTTAAAAAAGAGAAATGGCTAAGTTCTTTCTATTATTTTAATTTTTATCTAGAACTTTCTGAAATTATTAGATGAATATGCTAAACAATTTTCCTTACATCTTTCACTCATTTCATTATTTAAATAAAAATCATTATCACAGAGAGTACATTAAGTAAGTGTAGTACATTTTTTAAATTGAAGATCACATTATTAACACTTTTTCTCTTCTGTTAAATAGTAATAATCAGTAAAAACTAAAAATACACCATCTTAATATGATTTGCATCCCTTATTATCGATCTTCACAAAGAATACAGATATATCTGAATATATATTTGAATTAATAATAATTATTATTAAAATATATTGAAACTTTTCAACTTTTGTTAAAACTTAACCAGACTTGTATCCTATATTAGATTTTCACATTCCATATCTGTTATTAAAAAGTATCCCTTAATAAAGATGAATATTGATCACTTGATTATGAGCAAGATTAAAAATTGAATTGAATTGATGACATTCTTAATTGATTAAATAATATCCTCTTAAACAAGATTAACATTTGTAAAGATCATCCTTAAAGTGATTACAAGATTAACAAAATTGATTGCAATTTTAACAATTTTAATCTAGAATCACATTAAAGACATTTATTATTATCTTCAAAATAGAATCCATCTATACAATCAATACATTCTTCATTTGAATAGCACTTACTACAAGGAGGTTTACTTATGAAACTATTAAATGTAATTCCATAATTAATACAATATAATTGATTAGAGATTGTTAAACAAAATTAATCACTCAAACATGTATTACAATCAAACTTACATGAAATAAAAAGTTCTGATTTCTCATAATATATTTCTTCACATTTGATACATGTTTATAATTCTTTACAAATTATACGATTCAATATGCAAGAGTCACAAGAATTGCTTATGGTATAATTAAGTATAAATATATAAACTGAGAATTTGTAGATTTTACAATTTAAAGTAGGAAAACAAAATAATTTCTGAAATTTTATTTAGCAAATTGAATTTAATAGCTGATTATCCAATAAGCTATAAAGAATGACATAATAATATATATATTTATTATATATATTTCTATTCTATATAATAATCACTTTTAAATAGAATTGAAATATTAAAATTTTAAGGTTTTCAAACTATTTATCATATTTCATATATATATTAAATATTAATAATAACTTAATAAATTAGATCTTATAATTCATTTAATTTTCTATAAAGAATGTAATTTTAATACTAAAATCTTATTGAGACATTAATACTCAGCTTTTTTAAGAAGACTCTTTAAATATTAATAATTGGGTGAAATACTATAAAGAACATAGGTTCAACATTCTCGATTTTTTTTGAATGGAAATCCGAACTCTTGCTCTATAACTTATATTTTACCTCCCTCTCTGCATAAATCAATTATCGTAGCTTTTTTTTAATCAAATAAGCAATCTTAATCTAAACTTATATCAATTTGTAACACTTTTTCAAATGCTTCTTTTTTATTTTTTTGAAAAGATAATTCCTTGTCACACAAGGGGAATTAATCTAAGGCAAATGATATCTTTTTAATTTTAATCCAGTTTAGATTTATTTAAGTGAGCCAACTTCTTATTTTTTAAGTAAAATACATTACTTATGTAAAATTTGTAGTGATTATTTTTCTTTTAATAATAATTTTAAATTTGATAAATATTTTTTCGATTACAAATTTAAACATGAAATCATTAATTCTACCATTTATTTTCTAGCAACTTTTAGAGTTTGAATAAAAAATATTTTTTATTCTAAATTTTTATAAAGCTGAAGAATAATTTAACTATTATCTAATTATAATTTTTTTAGTCCTCTCATAATCAAGATCTACTAAGATAAGAATGATTAACATTTATCATTTAAATTCACCAATAATGATATCATAATAATAGAAGTTGATATTTAGAAAAATTATATAAAATGGATTAAGTAATCATCAAATGAATCACAAGTAAATATTAAATTAAATACAAAGATCTTTGACATAGAAACATCTTAAGATCTATTTCTATATGTGAATTCTAAAGTAGAAATTAATTTAGAATACTAATGAAAACTAAGTGCATTCAAATTCTTTATTGATTGGTCTTCCAGGTTTTTAATCTTCAAATATATTTATTCAACTTTATGCAATTATGAAAAAATTTTAGAATTATCTTTTTTTATTATGATATCAATATGAGTTAAGTATAGACTAAATATTAAATATGGTGAAACAATTTATCTTGAATCAATTTTTCATTAATGTTAAATATTAGATCCCTTTATTCTAATAATTACTCTCTTTTACTTACTTCTACAGAGACTTTGTATTTGAATAATATTGATGAGCAATCAAATAATTAACCAAATTTTAAATACCAAAAAATTTCCTTAAGTTTATAAAATAAACGCAATCTAAATTTACTAAGATTTGAAAATTAATTTCATTTAATAATTCTAAATTGTATTGTCATATATGAGGAATAAGTTGAAAGTTTTTCAAAAATTAAAATTTGTAAGTTGTAACTCACACTTATGAGTTTATAATCCTTGAAACAAGTTGTAAATGAGATTACATAAACAGACGATGAAAAATAGTGCATTTATTAAATTATTTTTTTAACAATACTATTATCGAATCTATTAAGTTTCATTGAGAATTGAAAAAAATCACTATCAATTTCTCAATAATAGAGCAAAGAAATTTTAGGTTTATTCTGTGACTTAAACTTGATTTTAGTAGAAAAATTGAAAATAATTTTTAGAGAATATGTTTTTTTTTATTTATTTTAAATTTATTGAAGATATAAGACTAATAAAATTCCAAGTATTAGCTTAGTCATTTCTTTGAATACTCATTTAAATAATGTCTTAAATGAGTAAGCTAATTATTTTTAGTGAAAGTGATTCTTGAATTATTCACTCATTTCTACATATTAAACTAATGCTTAATTTTATATTCACAATGTAATTAACTCAAAATTATTAAAAAATAAAAGTTACTTTGAATTGTACAGGTTTGAGTGGACTTATAAGTGAATCATCTTATTCCATATTTATTGGAACTATTAGGGGTTTATGATTAGATAATAGTTATTAGTTATAGAATCATAAATAATATAAGAAAATAGTTAATTTTTTTGTTCTTATCTTAAAATTCGCAAAATGATTTAGAGATTGTTTTTTAGTTTTTCTAGAAGATTTTCTAATTTCCTATTTAATAATGAAATTTCAGTATTCAGGTAAGTTTATTTTCTATTTATATTCTTAATTGAGTTCTTTTAAATTATTTATTGATTCTTTACAAAACTATTCGTTTACTTTCTTTTATAAACTATATATGTCCACTAATTCTTCAATATGTTCTTACATTAAAACACTGAACACAAGCAATTCTACTTGGGATATTTTTAACAGACTTTTCTAGTCTTAGGTTCCCTTTAGTTGTAAAATTGTAGCTTTGAATATCTTGGATTAAACTATTAATTTTTAATACAATTTAATTTCTCTTAAAACAGAAATAAACTTTTAGAAAATTAAATCAACTGGAATATTTATTATCAATAAGTCTAAGGTTCATCCTAAAATACCTATAATAGAGTATTTTAGACCAATATAATATAGTATCAGTTCATTAAATTGCTGGAGTCATTTCACTAGCCTAGATTTAGTTTAGTACTCACCTAATAGTAGAATTAAATAGATTTAATTTTTCAATAAGATGATATTTATAAATAATAGAAGAAAATTAATAAAATATTTTAAAAAAGGAAATTAAGATATTCAAAATCTCTTTGATTCTTAGACTTACAATTGTGTAGATACAAGCACCCCACATTATGAAATTGATTTATAATAAACTAGATATCAAAGATCCTTTTTTTTAATAAAAATTATATTTTTCAAATGGGATACATTAAGGATCTTTACTTGCTCCTTTCTTTATTCGATAATAATAATAACTAATTATATCAGATCATTTCTGTATGGAAACATATTTTTAATCTAATTTTATGTGACTTAATTAGTTCCCCTCAAGTACACATTATTGATGATGTATTAAGATTATTATATTGTAAAACAAATATTCTAATGTTTTAGAACAACGAACCCGTCTTCTTTTTTTATAGTCTTAACATGAATTATCCTTATGATATTCTAATGTATTAACTTAGATTAAAATAATTACCAAATAAATAAACCATATTAGATCCCATAAAATTTTATAATAAATATTTATTTGTCTATAATTATTATTTAAATCCTAAACCGTGTTTATTAATAATGATAATATTATTTTCTTAGTTTACCAAAAGTGATTAAAATTAGACTATTTAAACACAAATAAAAATTAAGTGTTGTTTGGAAAAAAGTTATCAACAATAAAAGGTAAACTATTTAGGTATAAAATTGAAGTTAAATGGAAGGAATTAAAAAAAAATTTAGGACTAAATCATTAATCATCATAAGTTATGATAAATTAAGGATTATATAAAAAAACGATAAATCTATTAATAAGAAAATGATAATGATTCTTATAATGGAAATAGAAAGATAAATGTAAATAAAAATGAGGGAGTAAAGTTCTTTTCATAAAGTGATTGTTAAAACATGGGATGGTGAGTATGCTACATCTTAAATACACACTATTTACAATTTCTTGTAATATGTTAGAGGAAAGGGAACCTATTGTAGATAAGGAAGTAAAATTGATAAATTGATAAAATTACATTGAAATATTGAAGAGTAATCAATATATTATTATTAAATAGATTTTATAATTTTATGTTATGAAGAATTTATATAAGGTAGAAAATAAAAATTTGGATAGCATAGTCTATAACTAAGAAAAGTATATTTAAATATCTTATTCGTTTAGAATTGGAGGCTAAAAGGGAATAGATCTCAATATTTATATAAGTAATTCTAACCTTCTGAATTTTCTATTTAACATTATTTAAGATATTCTTTAACTTAATTTGTGCATTAATTAATTGAATTAATTTTAAGAACATTTTTGCCTTAACATCCTGAATTATTAAATTACTTTTTGATTATTTTATCACTACAATCTATTTACTTCTTTAAAATCATCTAACATTATGAAAGATTTAATTTCTTAATAAAAAATAATTGTAAACTAATTCATCCTCATTACTATTCATAATTTAGAGACGATTAATGTAGAACCTTAAGTTCCTACTATAAATTAATTCAAATTTGTTGTCCATTTGAAAAAAATATAAGACTTATCTAACTGAAATCTTGGAATTGCATCTTTTTGATCGATTTTAAAAATAAACTCAGGTATTTACATTCAAAATCAATAGTCCATTCCATAACATTTATGAAGCGACCTTGTTTCGTGATAGGTTTTATATGTTTGCATATGCTAATTCTGAAGTAATCTTATTCGGCTGTACCAATCTCAATTAAGTCATATCAATTCTTCCAGTTTAAATCAAAAAAAATAAATTTGATTACATTTTATATTTTAGCTCAGTCCTTAATTTACATTTGAAATTTATCATTTCAACTATTTTATTTATGAAAAGAGGCAGAGTTTTAGGTTCTCTATTTTTTAAAATTCAAAGCTTAAATTTTATTTCTTTATAATGATGTTATTTTTGGACAAGTAATTTATAATTATTTAATAGGGATTTTCCAATCAGATCCCCTTTTTCTTTTGATATCCTACATCTCGGATTTTCTTAATACAGTTAAGTATTAAGCAACCATAACCTAGACTACAAAAGAACAAAGCTTGCAAGAGTAAATGATCTACGATGCAAATATGGGGCAGAACAGAATACTTTTCTGAAATATCATGCTAGGTAGATTCAATGCTGTTTGGCCTCCTTACATAATTGAGACGATATAGCTTAACGATAACTTTAATGAGTAAGATATATTTGAGACTATGGATATTGGATTTGAGTTTTATGTTAAGGCTAAGTCCAAACGATTGAATCAATTATAATGAAATAATTATAAAAATCTCTTGCTTTCTTTAAATGATTTAAATATTTGATAATCTCACTATAATGACTCATCATTCATTTCAAGCTAAAAAAATTATTAATGTATATTACTTAAATAGATTAATAGTTTGAATTATTTAAGTTATTCTGAATTACATTATTCTCCTATTATTGGGCTTCTTACAATTTTTTTATTTTTTCTAAGACTTTTGCTAAAAAATTTATATTTGTTTCTTGCTTATACCTTTACATGTTTAATAACTTGAATCATTTTAATTTCTCTAAATAGCATAATCAAAATATTCTAATGCTTCTTCAAATCTATTCATTTAATCTAAAGTAACAGCTTTAAATTTATTATTTATTTTTTTAATACCTTTATTAAAGAAGTATATCGGATTTTCTGGATTATTTTTAATTGCCTATTCATAATATTCTAATGCTTCTGTAAATCTATTAAGTTTAACTAAAGTATTAGCTTAATATTAATAATATTATTAAGACCTTTGTTTCCATAATATCTTGAATCATTTGGGTGTATATTAATTGCATAATCATATTATTTTAATGCTTCTTCAAATTTATTCATATCATTTAAGGTATTAGCTAAATTGTATAATTTTTTTTTTGAATACCTTTACCAACATAATTCTCTGAATCTTAAGGGTTTAATTTAATCGCTAAATCATAAAAAGTTAATGCTTCTTCTTATCTATTCATTTTTGATAGAATATTCGCTAAGATAACATAATTGCGAATGAATACCTTTGTAAAAGAAATATTTTGAATTTTCAGGATTATACTTAATGGCATAATCGTATTATTCTACTGCTTATTCAAGTTTATTTTGCTTTTGTAAAAGTTCACCTACAATTGGAATATCACTATGGGATACCTTTATTAATATAATATCTTGAATCCTTTGAATCTCTCTCTATAGCCTAATCATAAAATTTTAATGCTTCTTCATCTTTATTCATTTCCTGTAAAGTGATAGCTAAAATTTAATTTTTTTATTTTTAAACCTTTATTAAAAAAATATGTTGAAACTTCCGGATTTCCGTCAATAGCTTAATTATAAAATTACAAAGCTTCATCAAATCTTTACAATTTCTATAAAGCTGCAGCTAAAATTTAATGAATCAATTATAAAACCTTTATTTGCATAATGATGAGAGCCGAATGGGTTGTTTTTTATAGCTTAATCATACTATACTAATGCTTCTTCATAACGATCCAACTTTTATAAAATATTAGCTAAAAAAATGAAAAATACTTTTATTAATACCCTTAGCACCATAGTAATCAGAATTTGTTGAGTTTAGATAAATGGCATGATTGTAAAATTCTAATGCTTCTGAATATCTATTCATATCATTTAAATTGTTAGCTAAAATTTAATAATAATCATTTCGTATACCTTTACAATAGAAATATTATGGATTTTCAGGATTTTTTTTTATAGCTTTATTAAACATTTTCAAAGCATCTTCTAACTTTTTCATTTTATTTAATGTTTTGGCTAAATGATATTAACTATCTGAAAAACCTTTATTAGCATAGTATATTGAATTCTCTGGATTTTTTTAAATCGCTTAATTATAATATATTAATGCTTCTTCGTCTCTATTCAGTAAATTTAAAACATTAGCTAAAAATCTTTATCGTTTTAAAAAACCTTTATTTGCATAATTCTCTGAATTCTCTGGATTTTTTTCAATAGCCTCACCAGAATATTTTAATGCATCTTCAAATCTCCCCATTTTACATAAGGTAGAGACTATAGTTAACAATATTTTTTCAATACCTTTATTAACATAATGATCAGAACATTCAGGATCATAGTAAATGGCAATATCATAATATTTTAACGCTTCTTCCAATCTATTTAAATCATTTAAAGTATTGGCTATAATTTTGTTCATTTTCTTAATACCTTTAGCAGCATAATTCATTGAATCTTCTGGATTTTTTTAAATAGCAATATCATATTATATTAAAGCTAATTCAAATCTATTCATATCATGTAAAACACTAGCTAAAATTTTAATGACTATGGATTTATACCTTTGCCTGCATAATTATCTGGATCTTCTGAGTTTTTTTAAATTGCAAAATCATAATATTTCAATGCATCTTCAAACCTATTCATTCTATGTAAAGCATTAGCTAAAATTTAATATTTAAGTTTGAGCACCTTTATTAGCATAATTATCTGAATTTTATGGGTCTTTTTAAATTGCAAAATCCAATTATTTTAACGCCTCCTCATATCTATTCATTTTCTTTAAAATCTGAGCTAAAATTTTATAATTGTTGTTTAATACCTTTAGCAGAATAATAATCTGAATCTTCTGGATTTTATTTAATTGCTTTATCTATATACTGTAATGATTCTTCAAATCTATTCATTTTACATAAAGTTTTAGCTAAATTTAATAACTGTATTTTGATACCTTTAGCAAAATAATTATCTGAATTTTTTGGGTCTTTTTAAATTGCAAAATCAAATTATACTAACGCCTCCTCATATCTATTCATGTCATCTAAATTAATTGCTAAAATAATTCATAATTCCTATTTGATACCTTTATTTGTAAAATATCTTGAATTAGCTTGGTCCTTTTCAATCGCTTTATCATAACATTCTAATGCTTCTTCAAATCTATTCATATTATTTAAAGTATTAGCTAAAATTTATAAATGTTTTCTTAATACCTTTGCAAAAATAATACTCAGAATTTTTAGGATCTTTCTTAATTGATTTATCATAATACTCTAATGCTTCTTCAAATCGATTCATATTATTTAAAGTATTGGCTAAAATTTATAAATTGCTTCTTAATACCTTTACCAAAATAATACTCAGAATTTTCAGGATTTTTCTGAATGGCTTTATCATAATATTCTAACGCTTCTTCAAATCTATTCATTTCAAATAAAGAATCAGCTATGAAATTATACAGATTTTATTACACCTTTTTAAAAATAAGAGATTGATTCATCATTAATTTTCTAAATAGCTGAATCATAAGATTTCGATGTCTCCTTAAATCTAATATTGTTTTTTTGTATTTTTAATTGATTTTTTATCACATCAATTTTCTTACTAAATCTTATTTCCTAGTTTTTTATCCAGATTTGATTTTTTAATCTGCTAGAACTTTATATCATCCTTTCTGCAATAGATCTATGGATTAATCTTGAATTAATGTTAAATCTAATAAGTTAACAAAAGTTCATTATGGTAGCTTAATATTATTAATCTTTATGTACCTGTCTATATACTTTTATTATTCTGATAAAATTGCATCTTTAATTTAATAAATATTATTATATTTTATTAATTATTGATATAGTAATTATAGTAACCTTTTTGAAGAAACATAATAAATGTAACCCTCCTCGTTTAAATTAAATATACTTTTTATTCAATTTATATGTCAGGATTGAATATAAATAAGCTTGTTTAATAATTCTTCTATGATATTTAATCATGATTCCCCTCAAAAATTTATGATATGTTAGTTATAAGAGAAATGAGATGATAAAATAATTTGAAGCGATTTGGATTATATTTTAATTACATTAAATAATAGATTTGAGAAAAAAGAAATCAACAATCATAAATAGTATAAATCAAAGAAAATTAACAAAGTAATAACAATTTTTTTCTTCCACTAATTAATGTTATATAACTGAAATATAAAATTCATTATAGAAACAATACTATATGAATAATTTAATAATTTTAATTAAGAAATAGATTATGATTTCATTTAATTAAATATAATTCCATTTTAATCTAAGTTATATTATGCATTAAAAAAATTAATTTATATATTCAACAATTTGGAGACCTTCTATTCCTATTATAATCTTTGAGCTAGGTACCTAATTCTAATTTTTTTTCCTTATTTTACTTAATGATTTTGGGAGAGATCACACTTTATATTAGCCTTTTTTTTCACTGTTGTTCTTTAGAAACATGGATGTAAAACAATTCTTATTTTATTTAGCCTTTTATCTATTTCAATTTACTATTCTATTAAAAAAAAATTTCTACTAGATCCAACTGATGAGGTATAATAAATATGAGATATCTAATCGCAAGATTTACAATTTTAAATGATTAAACAACTGAGTTTTTATAAACTATAATGGAAAAATAAAAGATATTTAAGATTTTGAAAAAAATAAATTTATTTTAATTATTTGAAAAATACTGAAAAATTTAAAAAAGCATCCCTTTTATCAAGTGTATAAAGAAAATGATCTCTAAAGTATAAATTTTGTAACATAATTTTATTAAATAATTATTAGGTTTTAACTTTTATTAAAACATTAGTATAAATTGAGAAAATAATTTGATTTCAAAAAAAATCAGAAATTCCCCTTACTTTATTCTAATTTTAGAATGTAAGCAAGTTTAAGTATCAAATTTTTAAAGTCCTACTAAAGTTTAAAAAAAATTTATTTATTAAAAAGATTTTAAGGTATATGAAATTAATTAGTTTAATTAATTTTTTGATAAGCTTGGTTGATTCTGATTAAGGGATTATTGTCAGAAAACTCTCAAGAATTATGAGAGATAAAAAGCTAGTTATTATTAATGAATTTATAATCAATTAATTTTTCTCCTTTTAAATGGTATATAATTATTAAAATGTAATATATATAAAAATAAATCTATTCCTGCCATTCTATAATAATTTTATTTATTGAATAAGTAGCAGATTTATTGTTGGTCATTAAAGAAATGATATAGGATACCTTTTGAAAAAGATGGGAATAGAGAAAGCATCAAATATAATTATAATTAAAGAAGTAAATCCATTATGATTTAATTTGTCAATTCGTCTAGAAATCTCTTTAAACCCTATTGCTACTTATTCTGGCCATGCATTTTGTGAAATATTCATATTTAATTTAAAAACAAGAATGTCCTGCGAAAATTAAAACATACTCATTCTAATATTTTGAAAGTTTTGAATAGAATTATTGTTTTAGTTAACTAATATGGAGATATTCTTTGATAATAATTATAAAAATATATTGAGAAAATTCAAATCACCCATATTTAAAAATAAACCTCAGAAAAATAGTAGTATATATTATTTTATATTATTTAGCCCCCACCTATATTACTATTCTTTTGATATCCCAATAGCTGATGTTTTAATCTTAAGGGGCTTAAATCTGGAAAGGAGAATTTTCAAATCATTTAGGCATAAATTAAAAGAAATTATTTTAATAAAGAGGAGCTCTCATTCTAGAGAGTTAAAGAGAATTAAAATAAATATCAAATAAATTATTACAAAAAAAATGAAAACATAAATTTTAGTATTAATGTTATGTATATTATTGAATTATTTTTAACAATATTTAAATTTATTTGTAATATTCTTAATGGTATCTCAATGTTGATGTTAATAATTTGAACTCTTATAAGAAAGAAGGAATATATTAGGCAGATATAATCAAAAGTGAATATTTAAATTGTCTAATTAATAGTTTTTTTAAAGAAATATATGTTAAAGATAGAAAGGCTAAGATAATTTCAAATTAAAATCTCTTGCTTAATGTTGGCATCCAAATCCATTTCCATTGTCTAAATGTTTCTACCTCACACACTCTTACAGAATAAAGCAGGGGCAAAGAAGGAGGGCAAATTCTAAAAGAGCAAAAGTTCCAAAAGGTGAACACCCTTGTATCAAAATTCTTAAAATTTGCAAGAATATCCTAAGACTAAGCTTGAACTAATCCCTAAGCCTTTAGGTTTACCCAAATGAGATTTTATTTTCGTTGCTTACTGAATATATAGAGGCAAATTTTATGTCCATTTCATGAAGTTCAAATTTATTTTCAATAGAAAATAGTAAGGTGGCACGATATTAAGAATAATTGGCAGTAAAATTCTGGCTTGGCATGGTGCAACTTTTCGAATTTTGGTATGATATACTTAGNTCTATAATAATTTTATTTATTGAATAAGTAGCAGATTTATTGTTGGTCATTAAAGAAATGATATAGGATACCTTTTGAAAAAGATGGGAATAGAGAAAGCATCAAATATAATTATAATTAAAGAAGTAAATCCATTATGATTTAATTTGTCAATTCGTCTAGAAATCTCTTTAAACCCTATTGCTACTTATTCTGGCCATGCATTTTGTGAAATATTCATATTTAATTTAAAAACAAGAATGTCCTGCGAAAATTAAAACATACTCATTCTAATATTTTGAAAGTTTTGAATAGAATTATTGTTTTAGTTAACTAATATGGAGATATTCTTTGATAATAATTATAAAAATATATTGAGAAAATTCAAATCACCCATATTTAAAAATAAACCTCAGAAAAATAGTAGTATATATTATTTTATATTATTTAGCCCCCACCTATATTACTATTCTTTTGATATCCCAATAGCTGATGTTTTAATCTTAAGGGGCTTAAATCTGGAAAGGAGAATTTTCAAATCATTTAGGCATAAATTAAAAGAAATTATTTTAATAAAGAGGAGCTCTCATTCTAGAGAGTTAAAGAGAATTAAAATAAATATCAAATAAATTATTACAAAAAAAATGAAAACATAAATTTTAGTATTAATGTTATGTATATTATTGAATTATTTTTAACAATATTTAAATTTATTTGTAATATTCTTAATGGTATCTCAATGTTGATGTTAATAATTTGAACTCTTATAAGAAAGAAGGAATATATTAGGCAGATATAATCAAAAGTGAATATTTAAATTGTCTAATTAATAGTTTTTTTAAAGAAATATATGTTAAAGATAGAAAGGCTAAGATAATTTCAAATTAAAATCTCTTGCTTAATGTTGGCATCCAAATCCATTTCCATTGTCTAAATGTTTCTACCTCACACACTCTTACAGAATAAAGCAGGGGCAAAGAAGGAGGGCAAATTCTAAAAGAGCAAAAGTTCCAAAAGGTGAACACCCTTGTATCAAAATTCTTAAAATTTGCAAGAATATCCTAAGACTAAGCTTGAACTAATCCCTAAGCCTTTAGGTTTACCCAAATGAGATTTTATTTTCGTTGCTTACTGAATATATAGAGGCAAATTTTATGTCCATTTCATGAAGTTCAAATTTATTTTCAATAGAAAATAGTAAGGTGGCACGATATTAAGAATAATTGGCAGTAAAATTCTGGCTTGGCATGGTGCAACTTTTCGAATTTTGGTATGATATACTTAGTCCCAAAAATACACTACATATTTTATCTTGATTCATTTATTAATACTGTAATGTTTCATAGTCAAAAGGGAAAGTATAAGAGAGATTATAGTTTTATTTTTAATCTGATTCCCTCTCGCTTTTCATAAATTTCAACTTATTTTTTTTGAGTAAATCTTTATTATTTTTAATAAATTCTAATATTTCAATGGATCCAAAATTATAAAAAAGATCTGTATTTTATATTATTATCATATTCAATCCACATTATATTTATAAAAATGAAATTAAGCTCAAAGAAAACTATGGCATAAATGTCCATTAATCATTTTGTTTTTTTAATTTTGGCAAACTATTCATTTCCTATAGCACTGTGATAGTATTTTATTTTTTATAAGACTTAACTTATAAATTTAAAAAATTTATCNACCTCAGAAAAATAGTAGTATATATTATTTTATATTATTTAGCCCCCACCTATATTACTATTCTTTTGATATCCCAATAGCTGATGTTTTAATCTTAAGGGGCTTAAATCTGGAAAGGAGAATTTTCAAATCATTTAGGCATAAATTAAAAGAAATTATTTTAATAAAGAGGAGCTCTCATTCTAGAGAGTTAAAGAGAATTAAAATAAATATCAAATAAATTATTACAAAAAAAATGAAAACATAAATTTTAGTATTAATGTTATGTATATTATTGAATTATTTTTAACAATATTTAAATTTATTTGTAATATTCTTAATGGTATCTCAATGTTGATGTTAATAATTTGAACTCTTATAAGAAAGAAGGAATATATTAGGCAGATATAATCAAAAGTGAATATTTAAATTGTCTAATTAATAGTTTTTTTAAAGAAATATATGTTAAAGATAGAAAGGCTAAGATAATTTCAAATTAAAATCTCTTGCTTAATGTTGGCATCCAAATCCATTTCCATTGTCTAAATGTTTCTACCTCACACACTCTTACAGAATAAAGCAGGGGCAAAGAAGGAGGGCAAATTCTAAAAGAGCAAAAGTTCCAAAAGGTGAACACCCTTGTATCAAAATTCTTAAAATTTGCAAGAATATCCTAAGACTAAGCTTGAACTAATCCCTAAGCCTTTAGGTTTACCCAAATGAGATTTTATTTTCGTTGCTTACTGAATATATAGAGGCAAATTTTATGTCCATTTCATGAAGTTCAAATTTATTTTCAATAGAAAATAGTAAGGTGGCACGATATTAAGAATAATTGGCAGTAAAATTCTGGCTTGGCATGGTGCAACTTTTCGAATTTTGGTATGATATACTTAGTCCCAAAAATACACTACATATTTTATCTTGATTCATTTATTAATACTGTAATGTTTCATAGTCAAAAGGGAAAGTATAAGAGAGATTATAGTTTTATTTTTAATCTGATTCCCTCTCGCTTTTCATAAATTTCAACTTATTTTTTTTGAGTAAATCTTTATTATTTTTAATAAATTCTAATATTTCAATGGATCCAAAATTATAAAAAAGATCTGTATTTTATATTATTATCATATTCAATCCACATTATATTTATAAAAATGAAATTAAGCTCAAAGAAAACTATGGCATAAATGTCCATTAATCATTTTGTTTTTTTAATTTTGGCAAACTATTCATTTCCTATAGCACTGTGATAGTATTTTATTTTTTATAAGACTTAACTTATAAATTTAAAAAATTTATCTGAGATTTGTGAATCTTATTATATTAATTAATAGAAATGTTGGATAAAAATCTTATCTATGATAATATAAGTTTAGCTAAAATATATATAATTTTCTGGCACTTTGAATACTTAGTCATAAAGTCTGTATATTTTTCGGGAAGATTTTTGATCCATATATTGCATGTTCTTGATTAAAAAAGAGAAGGTGAAAATAATAAAGAATGAAGGTTGAATGGGGAATGTGAATGCCACCTGAAAACTTATGGGAGTATGACAATAATTAATTGTTGATCCATTGGTAGCTCTAATTTCCTTTGGACTCTATAAAAATTATTTGATTAACAAGAAAGTATTGTAATATATCATGCAGACTCGAAAAGATGTAATTACGCCAATTGAAAAAGTAAGATTAAATCCGGTCTAAGTACTGAGCTTCAACTCTACAATAAAGCTCCTGAAAAAGTTATCAACTTCGATGAGTTTGTAATTTAACTTTCTATTAATATATTTGAAATTCAAAAGTATAAGAATTAGATTTTTAACAGTTATAAAAATTTATCTGTTTAAAATATATCATGCTTTTACCAGCCTTTTATCATATCTTAAAGTCTTGCAAATAGGGTAGTTTGGTAAAATAAATTAAAAAAAATGAAATAACAAATTAAGAAAAACTGATTTGATTATCCAACTTATAAACAGATGAAAATTATGATATAGTAATTTTTGTTCATTTAAATTAACTTTTTACTCTAAAATATGTTAAAATAAAAATAGTGAAAAATCAATCATTTTCATTTCCATATGATTACCAGAAATTTCATAAACAAGAAACAAATTACAAAAGCAATAATAAGGCTTCAAAATAGATATAATTTATCATTAAAATGCTATTACATGACAGAAAATGTTTATAGGATCACAAAAATAGTGCTTTAATTTATGAAACATTATTTATTGTAACCTATATTGATCAGGTAAAAATAACACTGAACCATCAGGTTTTTTTAAACTCTCTTTATCTTTATTCCTATAATACTTCTACTTCAATATATAAGCATATTTAGTTATAATTAAATATAAATGATCCATATAAGTGTATAGGTTTTTAAATATTTAATGATAGACTTTATTATCCATTTTTAGAGCCATTTAATATCAAAAGGCACTATGGATAAATACTCTTTTAAATTAAATATAGCTTATTAATTTTGTATAAACCTTGTTAGGGGGATAAAAACTTATATATCAAATCATAATTATTCATAATTGTTTATCCTTCTGCTTTTTATTATAGTTTCTATATTCTCTTGTAAACTAAGTATCTACACAACTAAGTATTTTACGAAATATTCTTATTATATATATATAATACTATTTCTTAGTCTAGCATACATCTTACAAGATCCTTCTCCAAAAATTTTACTATAATTTTTCTTATTCTTCTGTTTTGTATTTCAATTCAGAAGATTATTATAATTCATTTTTCTTATAGTATCCTTGCTCATATTATTATAATTATTTTTTTATTCTGAATTGATTTCTTCCTACTTTTTTACTTTAAACTTGACTTGAACAAAATTACTTTATTGCAAGATTGTAGTATAATTTATTAATTGGGTTTTATTCGATTAAATTTTATTGAATATGATCTAAATTTTACAATCATCTAACCATTATTTAAGGTTATTAATTTGATAATCCTCATTAATTATTAAATTATAAGATCAGATAGTTATGTTTGAATTTTCTGAATTTTAATTAATATATTAATAAATTATTGATTATCAAATATCACTTGATTTATTAATTAAAAAAATGGGAATTACTTGTTCAAATTAACAGAATAAAAATTTAAACTTTAAAGATAGTCATCGGTGTAGTGTTGAATAAATTGAACCATTAAATTAAAAAAATAAAAATCAATATGCCAATTAAGAACACGAATGTACAATTTGGAATTACCATTAAAAAAGATGGTGTTTGGAAAAATTCCAAATATTTCTTACACAACAATAAGAAGCTAAATACATCTTTAAAGGATAAATACTTAGAATGTAAATAATTTAATTAAAAAATAGAGAATAATTAAATGATAGTTTTATGAGACCATAAGTATTAACTAATTTGGAATAAATATAATATCTTTAATGGTGTGGAAACTTTGGTAAAATGAATCTTCAAAAGTTTGGAAAATGGACTGCTAACTGGAGAGGGAAAAAAATGCTGAATGTTGGTGGATATTACTCTGAGGATGGGTCTAAGCAAGGTATATGGAAAGAAATTACGAAGAATTATTGCAGGTAATATTTTTATCTCCCATTTTAGCCTTTGCAAGATATATGAAATTGGAGTATATAAAAATAATTAAAAAATTGGATTATGGAATTATGTCTATAAGAATAAAAAAATGTATTTTATTTAGAGAAACTTAGTGGTGGTGGATTCTTCAATTCTTTATCTTAGAAGAATGGTAAATGGATAGAGCTTAGTGAAGGATTTCATATAAATGAATAAATAACTTTTAGTTGTGAATATAAAAATGGACAAAGGGTAGGAATTTATGAAATTTGGAGTGGAGATTATATGAAAAGCAATAATAAATAGATGTAAATTTATATTGTTTAATTATACAAAATAATATGTATTTAGTGGTGGTGGATTATATCTTGTAAGAGATTATTAGATTAAGTCTGGATTTTGGGTAGAAATATCTGAAGGGCTCAATACTAATTCTAAAGTTACTTATCATGGAGAATATAAAAATGGTAAAAGGTTTGGTCGATGGGATATTATGTATTAAAATGAAAAGATGTAAGATAAATAAAATAACCTTTGTTTGTTAGTGGTGGAGGATGGTATGATGAAAATTGTGATGGGATTTAGTAGGGTAATTGGGTCGAAATATGGAATGGATTCAATCATAGTTCTTAAGTAACGTATCATGGATAATATAAAAACGGGAAAAAAATAGGTTAATGGGATATTATGTATTAAAGTGAAAAGATGTAAGATAGATAATATAACTTTTGTTTATTAGCGGTGGAGGATGGTATGATGAAAATTTTGATGGGATTTAGTAGGGTAATTGGGTTGAAATATGGAATGGATTCAATCATATTTCTTAAGTTACATATAATGGATAATATGAAAATGGGAAAAAAATAGGTTAATGGGATATTAAGTAAAAGAAGACTATAAGAAAATTTTAAAAGGTTTTACATTTCAGGAGGTATAAAAACTAATTGATTGTTTGAGTTTATTAGTAATGGGTAAGATAATGTAAGAAATGATGGGATTATATTGGAAAATTAGGGAGATATATTGGATGGATTTAATTAGGATTCTTAAGAGAATACACAAAATCAGAAAAATACATAAGTCGATCAATGGGTTTTTAGAAATTAGATTGTTGAACAGATAGTAAATAAAACAATGTAATAATATATGTTATATGAATTTTTGTAGTGGTGGTGGATCTTATGGTAATGGAGTAAAAATGGGTTATTGGTTAGATTTATGGGATGGATATAATTGGTTTTCTGAAGTAACTTATTATGGATAATATAACTCTGGAAAAAAGGTTGGTAGATGGAATATTTTGTATTAGAATAAAGTAGATGGGATACATGACTTAAAAATGTAAAAATATTATATAGCTTCTATATAATGTGCTAATTAGTGGTGGTGGATAATTTAATGAGACAAATGGCAGTATTAAGTTTGGTATTTGGGAGGAAATATTTGAGGGATTTAATGAAGATTCTCCATTTATTTATTATGGGGAATATAGAAATGGGATAAAGTATGGTAGATGGGACATTTTTAAAATAAACGATCAGAATACATTTGAATTAAAGTATTAAATAAAGTTGATATTATTTAGAAGTTCTGTCACTTTTGATGATAAAGGTATTTAGATATCTTAGAGAGATTAGTATAAAATTCAATTTAATAATATTAGTTAAAATATCTAATTTAGAGGAAAAAATTTATTTGGTAATAAAATAGGTAGATGGGATATTATGTAAGGAAATGAAAAATTGTAATGAATCGTTATTTATTAGCCTAATAATTTGCTTTTTTATTATTCTAGTGGAGGGGGATAATACGAACAGGGATGTAAATAGGGTTATTGGGTTGAAATATCAGATAAATATACAGATAAATTATAAGTAACATAGAATGGAGAATATATAAATGGTAAAAAGGTTGGTGTATGGAAGGAAATGAATAGAAATAAAACAAAATTGGAAGTAGAATTTACAACACTGAAAGAAATTAAATATGAAAATTGAGATTATGAAAAATAATAAAATAATGTAATAATATTATTATAAAATGATTAATTTGGATTTGATTTAATAACTGTTTTAACTTCTATAATTTTCATTCTTGTTTGTATTTATTGGTTTTTAGGATGATTTTGTAATTTAGCCTAAAAAGTATTTTTCTGTGTTTTAGTGTAAAAATATATTTTATTTTGGCTATTTTCAATGTTGAATAGATAGGGCTAACAGGATCCTAAGTTCTGGGCCTTTATCCATATAAATTTCATTAATATAAATGCATGGATCAGTAGCATCGTAATGATAATTTACACTGGGTTGGCCACCAGAGGATTCTAAAAGATTAGAAGAAATTTTAGGACACCTTAAAATTTAATAATCCATCATGATAAAATTAATCATAAACATTATAGAATGTTTTTAAAAAGGGATTGGAAGCTTCAAACTTATGACTTGAGCTTCAAATTTGAACTAGTAATAGAAAAATAATAAAAGGTTAAGGGTGGTATTTCAAAACTTTTTTCTAGTTTGATATTGGGAAAGTTTAAGTCTTAATTATATTACCTTTCAAAATCTATTTGAATATATTTCTTATGATATATCCAACCCTTATTTAGAAGTTCTTGAAATTCAAGTTTATGAGACGATTTATTACTTTGAGCTTATTAAAAATGTTATTATTGAAAAAAATTCAAATTAATTTGAAATTGATTTAAATAAATTTTTCATAATTATTTATGATTAAAGAATATTTAGAAACTCTTCCATGAATGAATGACTTTTTTTATTTAGTGATTCAAAATTACATGTATTTTTTACTAAACTTATATTATATTACAATAAAAATGCTAAACTTATTTAGAAATTAAATATTAAATGATATTTTTAGAAATTTAAATAACAACTTTTTTTATTTTAGTTTTTATAAAAATTAGTAAAGAATAAAACAAAAATATAGTTAAGAATTAATATTTAAATTTTTCTAAACAATTTTTTAGTAAAGAATTTTCTAATAATCATATTGAATTTTCTTCCATTCAAAATAATTTCTATACACTTTTTAACCTAATTCTCTGATTGAAATGTGCCAATAGCTGCTTTGGCAGGATATTGCAAAAGGAAATAATTTACTTATTTTTTTTTTACTAATATTTTATGTTAAAGACTATTGATTTAAAATAAAATAAAGTAACCCATGAACTAGTACTTTTGAAAAATTTGTAATATTGAATTTATCACTTATGGGTTAGTCAAATTAGATCATGAAAAAATGAATTTTTGAAGTATCTTTTCGGTTGTCAGCAATTATTCTAAATTTTCAAAACAAAATATGCCAACATTTATGTGATGGTTACAATCCTTAAAACAAGAGGTGATATAATGTCTTTGCAAGCTCCTTTACCATGATAATCAATTATCAATAATAGTGTATTGTGATGATGAGCTAGACAAAATCAATCAACTTCTATAAATTGTTAATCCAAAAATGAAGCATATATACTACAAATACTATATGGACTATGTAATTTTAAACAAAATTTTTCATGCAGTGACAAAACAGGGATTTCATAAAGTCAGATTTGATTAAGGTAGGAATAATTCATTCCATGAAAGAACATAAGAATCCTTTTTGATAATTTTTTTATTAAAATAAAGTAAATATTTATAATTCCAATTTTTTAACAATAGATAATTCTAAAGGATCTCTTGATATGAAAGAATAAATTTCAAATGATTAGGAAACTTTCCTTTGTATTATTTAGAATTTGATAATAGAAATAATACATAACTAAAGATATCTATTTGTAATTAAAATTTAAATTGTTGCTAAGTAGTATTTATAACAATTTTTTTTTAGAAATTCTTCTTAATATAAATGCAAGAGACCATCTGAATTTTAGATATAATCATTTGGAATTAGAGAAATAGAGGCTCAAAATGAACCTTTTCAAAAAGTAATTGATTATTGAATTTTCAATATGCTTTTTGTGTATTGATACAAAAAGATATAAAATTAATTAATCGTTCTTCAAATAAATGATAATGTATGAAAAATATATCAATACCTTTACAATTAAAAAATTTGAAATAAAAGTCAATATAGTAAACATTTGCAAGTCATTATTAAATTAAATAAATTTTAATTGGAATTATTCTAAATATAGCTTTTAAATCTCTAAAGTAATTGATAAATGCAGATAATATATAAAGAAATTTTAGTGATAATTTTCTTTACTTTTAGATCCAATTTATAGTAAAAATTTTATATTTTGAAATAATTATTTACAAAAGTTTCTTCTTACAAGAACATAATTA